CGTGCGTGAGAGCAGCGCCAACTATTTTATGAACTAAAGAACGATATTTGCGTATATTGATAATACAATTTTTAATAGAGTTCCTGATTTAAAAATATATATGTTAATTTTAATAAAAATATATGGATTTGTAAAACAAGTGAAAAATTATTATATATTTTTATTACTTCAGCTAAAAAAAGAAGTATAATGAATAAAAATCAATAATAAAATATAGGCAGGTACCGTCAAACGGGGTTAAGTGAATCACAATGGATAAAGTGAACCATTCGGTCATTTCCGTTATAAGTGACGAATATTATATTTTTAGTTCGTAAATTTCTTCTTTGCTTTATGATTAAATGCTGTTTTTTTTTTAGTATTTTTAAATAAACGTTTTTGTTCTTTGTATTACGTTTATTTATTTGTTTTTCCAACCAAGTGTTTAATAGTTATTTATGCAACAAGTGCAAAAAGTAAGTGTTTAGCACGCGACGTGAAATTGTCAAAACAACACGTCGAGTGCAATAAACACTTTTTGCACGAGTTGCATACAATATTTTTTCTACGTTCGTGCAAAAACCAAAAAATGTTTTATAGAACTGCAGTTGTATTATCTAAATCATAGTAGCCGTGATCGTGTACCTTTGTTTGAGGCATTTATTTACGATTGCGTTCATAATTTGTAATGACATTTTTAATAAAATTGCAATTGTTTTTAAAACGTAACACAGAAAATGAAAATGGACTAAATAATTGGCGTTGATTTGAATATTTATGTTTGTCATGATCATAAAACGCTGTAGTAAAATGACAGATGAGTGCAATAAAATGTTTATTGCACTATTGCAATATAGACCCAGTTTTTTCACTAAATATATAAAGTTTTGTTCTTTGCATGAACGTAGAAAAAATATTTTTTTAGTGGTTCACTTTGCCCCGACATTTGCCAAAGTGATTTTCTTTTCGATTTAAACCATGATTCACTTTACCCCAAAATAAGGGGTAAAGTGAATCACATTTTACCAAAAAAAAAATGGCACTTCTAAGTAATATAAAAATTGGTTAATAGTGAGAGGTAAGCCCCAAACAACATACGTTATTTTTTAAATATTTTTAATATTTGTTGTTTTGGAATATTCTGAGAAAAGCAGCTTTTTGTGATTCACTTAATCCCGTTTGACGGTATTTACGAGAAAATGTATGAGATCTAGCCTAAGCCTAATAAGTTGTCATTGAAGAATAGGTTAAATAATGTAAAAATAAAAACATTACCAGTATATAATAACGTAGAATTAATACGTATTAACAAAAATAATTGGTATATTTGTGATTGTAATTTATATTTTCTTCATTTTTAGTTCAAAAGAACCCATAGAACTTAATGATTAAAACTGGTTTCCTATCAATAAGTCAGAAGATTGCATTTCAGCCATATACAATAATCAAAGGCAAAAATCTAATCATTTGCTAAACAATTAAAATTTAAAGGTGTTGAAGAATATCATAAAATAATAATGTATTGTTTATTTAAAACCTTTTCTGATGTCTGTTATTTCCAATATAACAGTTATTATTATAAAAATAAAGATTTTTTTCTTCTTATTATGCAGCTGTCCATTTATTTCTTTGATTTAATTTCGATTTTGCTACTGAAAATTTATATAATTTACAGTTTTTTTGCTAGTATAAATTGCAACACAGCAACTCCGGTTGCTCATTTTATTGTTTTTAACATATTTTTTTAGTAAAATGTATATGTGCATTTGATACGCCAAAATTACAAAATATCGCCCTAAAGTACTCGAATTATCCGCAGCTTGCGCTAGTATCGCTTTTGCTTCCCCTACCATGACTTAACATGCCTTAGCGTGCTAAACGTTCTTTCGAGTATCTTTGTCGTTGGTGGAGGAGCCATAAATAATTTTTGAACCACTATGTATGTCTGGATAAAATTCACAATGTTTGGACGCTATATCGTTAATGGAGAGCTTATTGTGTGCAGAAAACTCTTTCGTACTCCAGTTTGGTATTCAGCTTCAAAATTGTCGATTCCAAATTTTTCCACTACTTTCATTTTCTAATCGGTAGTGAAATAGTTATTTTCCTAACAAGTGCGGAAAGTGTTACTTCCCGCACGCGACTGCAGTTGGCCCGAACGACGCGAAGCTGAGTTCGGGCAAGCAGTGCGGGAAAGACACTTTCCGCATGAGTTAGGAACATTATTTTTTCTACGACCGTATATACAAAAAAGTAGGAAAAATTATTTTTGAAAAATTATTTTATTTCAACATATACAAATCTTTAAATAAAAACAACTAATTATTATGGATATTAATGTTAAATACACAATTTGTAGCATTTTGTAAATTATGTAAAATTGCTGGTACAGAGGAATTAGTTGGTGTTAATTGTCTGTTAATAGTCGTAACGCTCGTAGATTGAAAAGATGACGTGGACGGGAGTGACATCGGTTGCAGGTCGCATGAAGGTGAAGCAAAGGTTGCAAGTCATTTCTATTTGAAAGAATTTTATTCGAAATGTTTTTCTTCTGTGTTTCGGAGTCCTCCAAATAGCCTTCAGCGATAGTAGTGGACTTCCAGCCACCGAGACGTTTTATATTGGTTATCGCTTCACCTGAGTCTGCTAGGAATGTTGCTGAAGAACGTCTAAAACTGTGTCCTGTATATCGTTCAGGATTAGGTAGACGCAAATATGCAGCAATCTCTGTTGGCATCTTACCAAAGGTGTTTACGCCAACGCACTGAATTGAGTATTTTCCCTTCTTATAATTAATAAAAAAGCGGCGATGCGGAGTGGTAGGTGGTCGTAAACCTGCGTACTTTCTGTACAGCTTCAGAAAGTTGCCATTATTTATTTCTTCACATAAAACAAATGATCTTGAAGAATGATTTTTGACATCGGAAATTTTCACATTTATCAGATTGCCTTTATCTTGTATATCATCGAGAATGATATTTACAAGCTCCGCTCTGCGGAGAGCACCAGCTAAAGCAAAAATGGTACTCACTTTAATCATAAGGTATACCTCATCAGGGGCTAACATAAACCTGGATATATCTTCTTTGGTAAAAACCTGCGCCTTCTGTGCTCGAAAACCAACATTTTTTTGTTTTAGAAATGACGTTAACTTATGGAACTGGCTTATATCCAAATTTTGTTTTATTTTTACTAAACTTTTCACCATCGAATAGCGAGACCATAAAGTATTAGATTTTAAAAACTTACTTAGGTGCGAAAAATACGCCAGAAACACCTCTTCTTTGTAGGTTTTACCCCTTCCTGTTTACACCATGTGACAAAATGGTCGTATTGTTTTTCATATCTTCCTCGTGATTTGGCAGCTCTTCATCCGATGAATCCATTATTTCTTTAATTTATTTTAATTCAGTTGACGCTTCAACAATAGTATATTATGCAACGATCATGTAATGATGGTTATTAATACACGAGCATTAACCGGGATACGAAACGAGCCAAAGGCGAGTTTCGTATGGTTTATGCGAGTGTTTTAATAACCATTACATGAGAGTTGCATACGCTATTTTTTCTACACCCGATAAATAATCAAGACCTATAAATATTCTATTTATATTGGCATTGAACACAATAACAGTAATTACTCGTATTTCTATAAAAAATTCTACAAAATTGTAATTAATGGTATTACCTTGGGTATTGGTATTACCACAGATTTTTGGGGCAAAATATTTTGTACTGCATTTTCTCCTTTCTCCGATATGTGTGGAGGAGTCTTCTATATCGCTGATATCAGACATTTTAATATTATAATTATCGAAGTTTAGCTATCTACGAAAATTTAATACGTTTTGACAACTAAAACAATTACATAGGAATTTAGGACAAACGTCAAACATCATGCTTGATTGAAAAATTGTAGGTTTCTATTGATTAAAAATCTGTATCATAATGAAAAATCTGTATCATAATGGGTATCATTATGAAACGGATTATGGGCATATAAGTGCATTATTATAATACGGGTGTAGAAAAACAACTTTGATGTTTTTGTAACAATAACACGCCTTGGTTACCATATAGCAACCATATCAAGCCATACATTTCACAGCCTAGTCTGACTTTTAAAAATATACAGAAGCTATATAAAAATATCTCTATTATTCAAGTTTTCCAAAAAATTAAAATTATAACAAAAAGCAAGAAAAAAGGTAAATTTTATTAAATGGAATAGTTGGAAAATACTAAATTACCTATTGTAACAATAGTTATAACATCCGAGGTAAAAAACTATACAATAGGTAAGGCTAAATATTCATAATTTTACTTTCCCCCACTAGTGCGGAAAAGTGATTTTTTCCCGCACTAGTGCGGGAAAGTGACACTTTCAAAACTAAAATGCGTGCGGGAAAGTGGGTAAAAATACACGGTCGTAGAAAAAAGTATTTTTTTATGTTTTTTAGATGTAACAGGCCTTAGGAAATACCAACAGTCTTCGGAAAAGCGTGATATAAGCGTCGTAAGGGAATTCAGATATGCAATAACTATATTCAACCTATAATATTCTTCAACTGTATTAACCTGAATATTATTATTTCTATGAGATTGTTGTTCGTAATGCATATGTTACGCGTTGTTAATTAAGTCGTAAAAGCCAGGGGGGCAACTGCCCCCCCCCCCTCCCAAACGACGCCCATGCGTGTGATGCACCTAGTCGACTGTAGGAAAGTGCGTTTAATGTATGAGGAATCGAAATGAAAGACGAATTAACATTATTATTAGTCAAAGAAATAGAATGGGGGAAAAGGGAATTGTCAAATTAAAAAAAAAATACGTTTACAGACAGGGAACTATCAGAGTAGTGAAGCGTCTGAGCATTTGAATTATCTCAGAATTGTAATCAGTTTTCTATTAATTCAATAAAATATACATATAAATCTCCGTCTATAGTTTTTTTTTGGGTTCCCATATTAGATATATATCTACGGACCACATGTATGTTTAGAACACTCAATATTTTTAATTTTTGCGACTACACTATCATAGTGCGAATGAATATATTAACTCTTCAATTAACTAAACACAAGTAACGTTTAAAATTAAACTTCGAGTGTCTATTGTTTCAGATCTGGCAGCCATTCGACGCCTCCTAGATGCTGAATATCCCACTTCTGGCACATGCCCAAGTTGCGAAATGCCTTTTGACAAAGGCAAAAAGAGAAGACTGATAGACAATTGCGGACACGAACGATGCTATTCTTGCATGTTTACAAACGAATCATGTCCTCTGTGCCTTAATAACGGAGTTATTACTACAGAAAACGGTAAGATTAAAAATTGAATAAAATCAGTGGGATGAAAGGAGGTTCTTAATTAGCTAGCAGTTTACCCCTATTTTAAGGTCACAAACCGACCAAAAAACGTCTGGACGATGAACATGATACCGGGTGTCCCACTCAAATTTCTGGATTTTAATTTATTCATCACTTAAATAAACGTCAATGATAATTTAAGAAAAAGTATAGAGTTGGACGATAACGTCCCAAGTAGCATTTTGGCGACGATAACCATATAATACATCAAAATTAACGTTGTATTTGGTGTAGAAAAAGCCAAGATATTGTTACAACGTTTACTACAAGTAGTAAATATTCTGGGAATGGGAATAACGTTCTAAAAACGTTTAAGTGACAACTTTAAATGTGTCAAACGTGTTCTCGACGGAGAGCCGACCTTATAAAATTTCAATAAACAGTGGACAATTTTTCAGTTAAGTTAATAATGTTTTCGTGTGGAGTCATGTTTGCAATTAACCTTTTTCAAATATTTTCGTATTTAAAAAAACATGGCGATATTTAGATAATAATAATAATATAGGTAGTTCTCACAAGACTCATCCATAATAATTTGGAAACTACGTGGATAACATCGTGAATTCTTGCAATTCTGTTTGTGTACACAAAATTGGTCTAGTAGTTGTTCGTTGTTAGTATAAATTAATTTTCAACTAAAGGCGTTAATGTCGAGTATTTCTACCTCTACTTTTGGATGATCTCGTCGATCTATTCTCAAAATATCCAACTGGCCACTTTCAGTAATGAGGCATATCTATATTCATTTGAAACACAAGTAACTCGTAAACGCAATAGCCTCTTGACCACAGCATGATACGCACAAGCCCGACTGCTATTGACCAGCTCAGTGATTCAGTTTTGAGTGTTCTCTAGCTCAATGTAATGTGGTTAAAGGGCTATTGTGTTTACGTATTGAATAGAGAGTAGTGAGGCTTCGATGACGTTATTAGCGTGCAGGACTCTGACGAGTTGAGAGGCTATTCCTAGATACCTCTAGGCGATTTGTTAACAAGCAGGCTTTTTGAATGTAATTTGGAGCGATATGAGGTGTAAATTATGGTACAAGTTCATCCAAAATGTCCATATCTATGAGCATTTATTTATATTGCCATGGTCTATCGTAACTAAGTCTGTTCGAGATTACAGATAAATTCCTCTCTAGACCACAACTGATCCTCTACCAAACAATGTGGTGCCAATGGTGTATCTGGGAGTATATCTTATTTTAAACACGCTATGAACGAACATGACCATTACAGATGAACAGGCAAAATGTGGACTTATATACTCGTACAATATGTTAACTTTCCCTCAATGACACCAGAAGAACGGTATAGAATAAGCGATGCGATTTATTAGACAGATGTAGAACAGCCGCGCCAGCCCACTAGTGATAGAGGTGTAACCATATGTCAATCACGACAGGCAGTTAGCCGATTTACGAGTCTCTTCTTATTTCACTAAAGTGCAAATATACGAGCCCAGAATCATATTATTTGCCCCATTTAATGTTATATTTTTAATTTTTTTTTAGACAACTGTGCATATCTCTAATTTTATAATATTAATTTTAATAAAAAATGTTGATGAACATGTCTCAAATTATAATAAAAATAGTTTGATTTAATAGATTTTTCTTTTGTATTTACCAATGTTTTTTAAAGCAAAATAAAAAATATAATATTGAATGGGCCAAATGATATGATTCTGGGCTCGTAATTAGGCGTCTCATCTTTGTTTAGAAGGATCCATGAGTTAACACACTATATAAAGAGAACTTGTTCCCAATTGGCATCTGACCAATTAACATGGTCAAGGCGAGACCTCGTGCTAGAATGCGTGCTGCTAAATTAGCATCTAGGGGACGTTTCAATACTAATTTGAAATCCATGAACGACTTAAAGCTGAGATTGCAAGCTCCTGCATGCAACAAACTGTTGTCTGACACTAACAATTCTCAAATTTCGATCTTTTTGGGGATTGTGGCAAGTTTAGACCTGCTCAGGTCTTCTATAATTACTACCCGTTTCTCTACCTTCAACAAGATTCAATTTGAAACTTTTTCCTATGCTGTGGTAGGTCCAACCTCCTTCAAGTAATATCACTGCTTGAAATAAAATGTAAAAAAAAATGTTACAATAATCCACTCATCGAATTAAAACTGCTACTAACATTATTTTACAAATACCTAAATTCCTTATTTGAAATTGTTGACAAAACTCAAACTCTGCAAGGGGACTTTTGGGGACTTTTGATGTAAAAACAAGTTATAAAAGTAATTTTAAAAATCCGACTGTCAAAATTGAGTTTTTTTCATAGATCAGATTATTAGATTCTGATAAACTATATACGGGACCACCTAACAAACAAATAATCATAGAAATCAGAAAACGTGGTAAAGAATTATCGATAAACATACATAAAAAAAAATATATTCCGACGAATTGAGAACCTCTTCCTTTTTTATGAAGTCGATTAAAAATCTAAATAAAATGGAGGTCAAGGGGGGTTAAAATAAAAAATATATATAAATCAAAAACCATAAACGATATCAGCATTTCATGCTCTTAAATCAAGCTCTATAAGGGAATGAATAAATAAATAAAAATGAGAAGGGATATTGAAAAAAATCGTAACTCAGAAACAAACTCAAATTGAACTCTTCATAAAAAACCAACCTTTATAAAGGGATGAAGCCTATTGATTCTGAAAAATATTTGATTGAAAATGGGGGTTAAGGGGGGGGGGGGTCTGTTAAATTGTAAAGAGTATAATATAGAAAGCCAAGCATTATATATCTTCATTCTAGTATTTAATTTAGGTTCATATTTTATAAACCGTGTTTAACATTCTTGATCGAAAATCTAAGTTATATTACGGGAATTAAAAGATAGACAACAGGGGCGAATGGGTCTATTAGGAGTTGGGAAGATTTTCCGAAGAACCGGTCCTGTTTTCCGTCTTCGAACCAGACGGGTGCTGTAAATTGAATCTGAAAAAATGTCGGCACAATCAACGCAGATCTGAAGCCCGAAAAATTTGAGTCGCAATACTGATTGTTCTCTATATCTTGTCCAAGTACAATTTGTAAATTTGGACCTACCTCCATGATTTGGAATATTTGAACCCTAGGATAGTACTTTTAGAAATCATTAAATGGTGCGTTATTTTCTTGAAGCAGTGTATGTTGATTGTCGCTATGCAAACTTGATAATTTTTTTCTATTTTAGATGGCACACTGAAACCAAATTTATGCAATAGTAAACTGAGAGGTTCAGAAATTAGTCTGTACGGAGAAATGCCTCATGTAGAAAAATCAGAAAAAATGCAACCTAGGACCAAAGTTAAAACAAATGGATATTTCAACATACTCTCACAGGTAATGTTTTTAAACAATAAATAAGAGTAGAGTGTATTTTAAGTAGATTTTAATGCTTTAAGGGGTGGTTATATTGTCATTTCGTAGCTGCACTATTTAATCAACTTTAAATATTAAAGTTATATCTAAGAAATTCTATAAATATGGTACCAAAATAATTTATTTCATTACGAGTCCAGAAAATACGCTTTTCCCGTGCGAGCGTGACAGTTTTCCTTGTGAAGGCGGAGCCGGACATTTGATGCCATGCAAGTACAGGAAAAGCATTTATGGACGTGTAACAAACGATTAGATTATATTAGATTAGATTGGGAGTGGAACGTTGTTTGTCCTTGTTCACCGCGACCTTTTCAGATCTATTGTGACACTCCGTTTGTTTTAGAGTATGTCGTCTAGCTTGGTCTTTTTTATTAGACTTAGTAGCTTTGACAGTGGCTCCCGCATGTAGTTGCATGCGTTTGGCTTTTCTTCGCCCAATGTTACAAACTTCATTCCAGCCAGGCCTTCACATTGGAACAGGACGACACATAGAACCTGCACAAAGTTGCTTCTTCTGCTGGATTGATGACACTCATGTGCCTTTTGAGGAGACAGTGTCCAGTAAGAAGGCCTACTGGTATCCTAACGATTTAACGCTTTTGATCCAGTAGGTCTTTCATTAACTTGGCCGATGGTTCCTTGATGAACTGTTTGGCCTGTCTCATTTTAGGATAGTTGTTCCACCATTCCTGAGACTCTTTTGTTTAATTGTTTAATGGATGCCTTAGCAACTCCACAGAAGGGTTCGAGGCATGTCATGGCTTTATCTGAGCCTTCTTGGGCTAATTTGTCGGCCTTTTCGTTGCCCTGATATCCCTCATGGCCTGGCACCCAGGCTAGGGTCACCTTGTTTTGACTACTTAGATTTGCCAGGTCTTCTAGACAGTCTTTCACCAGTCGTGATTTAATTTCTGGTGAGAGAATTGCCTTTAGAGCTGCTTAGCTATCAGAGTACTCGTATATGGCAATAGTTTGGCCTGATACTTGTTGATTTAATATTTCTCTTGCACAGTGTTGTATGGCTATTAGTTCAGCCTGGAACACTGTTGCATATTTTCCTAAACTCAGCGAAATCGTTGATTTCGACTTGGGTCCATTGATTCCAGCACCGGCTCCTTCCTTGGTTTTTGAGCCGTCTGTATACCAGACGAGTTCAACCTGTACGGGAGGTCTCTGTTTCCAGGATTTTCGAGCTGGTATTTGAATTTAAAAATGTCTTTAAAATTTGTATGTGGTTATGGCTCTATCAGTAGGCATAGCTAGAATATTATCCCTTTTTATTTGCTGATATAGCGTTGTGTGGTCGGCGATATGTAGTTGGCTTATTGGGTTTTGTCCCTGCATTAGCCTGTGAATAGCTGACCTGGTTTCTCCTTGTATGAAGATGTGCAATGGAGTGAAATAATAAACGGTACTTTTCATTATACTTTTTAAAAAATAAAAACAAAGCAAAAAATAGCATTTCTGGAGGGCATGTAGTGAAACATGGCTTGAGAGATTGTCGCCTATAATTACTTTAGGTCCTTCGAGCTTTTTTAAATACGGCAATGTAGGTAATCTTATCAAACCAGTCTTCAAAAGTCGGTCCGTCTAACCAACCACTTTTTGTACGGTTATAGAAAGCACCTTCTACTCCTCCTTCAACCCATGATGGATATAGGTGTGTTGCAGTAGTAGTTGGCCAGATGCAGAAATGGCCATCATGATAAAAATGCCGCTTTTACTCTAATCCATTATTCTCTCAGCTCGTTTTGACCTATTTCGGCACAAGACCTTAACACGACCTGGGTCATCGCTTATGTTTTTTTCGTCATAATTCACAATGTTTGTATCTCTCCCTCAAATTTGAAAAATATTCCACAATAATTTCTTTACTTACGACTGCCCTGACACGCTCAATGTTTTGTGCCAGTCGCTCAGTCAGACGATCATTTTGGTATCCTGATTTCCTTGCGATCCAAATAGTTCTTGACGAAACTTTTTATATAGGATCGAGTAAATGGAAAGCCCCATTCACCAAATTTCTGGATCCCCTCTGACAAAAATCTTTCATCTTCTGCCGATAGGGCGGTCTGTCCACCTTGTTTTTTACTGTGCATGATTCTCAGCTTGTCGCTAATTGTTAATTTCGGAATGTTATAGTTTTGTGAAGCTTCACGAATGGACCTTCTGCCCTGTCGAACATCTTCTAAAGCGAGTTGCAAGGTCATTGGCGAATAGTCCTTAAACTGAATAACCCAGTTTCTTCCTATATCTACAAGGCATGGCATGGAGTAAAATAACAGAAAAAATATTTTTCAATTTTCTGCACAGAAGATTCTTTTTATGCTTTTGAAAAAAGGTTAAACATCAACAAATAATAAAAGCCACTTACTGTCAAATTAGCTCGTTTATACTTCACTCACATAAATTACGTCTATACTCGGTCGCATCTATTTGTTTACTAACTTGAAAATTTGATAACCGCTACCGACAAGAAACAACTTGCAAAAAAGACACTTTGTCCAAGTTGTCCACTAATGTCTTTTTAATTAATAAATATTTGCATTTATCATTTTTTAATAATCGTTGTTTTTTTGCAGAGTCGTCATGATTTAATGACGACAAGTGTAGAAGTTGGTCATCCTGAAAAATTACCAAAGACTCGTCCCTCTAACTTGCGTCACCGACCTCCCGATCAAAACATCATGACACAAAGTTGCCCCACTCCTCCGCAGGCTAGAAAAAAGTTTTATCTCGGAGCTAAAGGTCTAAAGAGTCCTCTTTTGAGCAGGAGCACCAAACAGCCAGAGCGTGCAATATCCGGTAAGTTGTCCTTGGTGTTAAAATATTGAATATTACAACAACAAAAATGTATTGGTTGTACTTCTCGTGCCAGGAAATATCTTAATAATCTTATTTATTTCTCTTACGGGTTTCGTAAATGTCAAATAAAGGCCAAGACGCTCCTGTGTCGTCAAAACTACATCACATTACTGTTGATTTATGTCACTTATGTCATCAGTTTCATCAGTCATATGTATGTTTACAACTTAGACTAACTACTAACTAGACGTACAATCATAACAGAACCTACTTTATTTATTTCAATGAATAATTTAAATTACATTAGAAAATTTCAAACTTTTGTTTTTCGTAAATCTAAGTAAAATATTCTAAATAATTTCTTTAGCTGCAATGACTTCATCGACTACGTCCACAGAAGGGAAGCATTGGCCAAGTGTTATTTTAGGAAAAATACGATCACTTTGGACGGCTGGATCGAAAAGCAACACTGGCCTCAATCAACTTTTATCAGGCAGGAATTTGGTTTTAACTTGTGTGTCGTTTTCTTTTTGTTTCTAGCATGTTTGAGAGCTTGTTTTATAGATTTTTTTTTTGTATTTTTTTGTTTATGTGTAATATTTGCGCACTAATTGTTTTGTAGGTACTCATATTCGTTGTTGACGGAAGACAGCAACTTTGCATTAATGAAATTTAGAAAACACAGCACATAACCACACGATTTGAATTTTTTCATTTTTGCACTTACACTTTGCTATTTTGGCACAATTTATGTATATATTTCGTTGTTTTTTGTATGAAAAAGGTAGAGTGCCAAACAGCCAACCATAGCGCAAGATTTTTACCCAAAAAATGAGATAATAACCTTTGAATACAGTACCAGGAATTTCTTGAGGTCCCATGCATACAGAATATGGGTATAATTACAGAATAATTATTCGAAGTACCATTCGATTATTACGTATGAAAGAGCACGAAATTGTAAACGGATTTAGGCAATACTTAGCTTTGTCCACGGCCTGTCGATGATTGGGACTGAATTCGGAACTTGGTTGTGTTGGAACACATTTTTCTATTGTCAGACACACTGTCAATAACGTAAAAGTAAAAAACAATTAACAGATGTTAAATTTTGAATTTGGTAAATAAAAAAATTATAAAATTCATTAAAAGATTTATAAATTTTGATTATTCGATTGATTAGTAGGGTAAACTGGGGGATTTCCGACCGCCTAAAGAAAATGTTGATTTGCCGTAAAATTTCTTAAGAAAGGATCATGATATTTATTAACAAGCTAATAAAATACATGTTATAACATAAAGTGTAATCCAAAATAAATCAAAACAACGAAACAAATGTCTACAACACAAAAATTATAATGAAATTCTGTCCGGGTTTACCCGTGGTATGGGGGTAATAGCGACAGGGGGCCGAAATTTCCCTTCGTGAAATATTTTATTGGCAAAAATCAGATGCCCATTTTCGATCGCTAACATCTGGACACTCTTTGTGTGCCCATTCCTTACATATGATACATTTTATCCATAGCTCCTTGTTTTCCAAATTCGCCACATTAACAGCTATAATTTCATCATATTCTTCATTAATATCTATAATTTCATTATTTTCTTCTAAAGACTTTTGATCTTATTGATAATATCTTACCACTTTAACTTTTTTGTTTTTCTTTTCTCGCATTTCTGGTAGTTTTCGTTTTTCCACTGTGACCTGACTAACTAAACAAGCCACTTTCATTCAAAACATTCAAAATGTTCTTAATTTTTTTCTCCTTTTTCTTTCTTTTCTGTTCGATCTTGTTTCTTTTTCTCTTTCTCCTCCATAAAAGCTTTCATGGGAGTAGACGTGAAAATCTCTGAATGTTGTTTCTCTCTTCCTTTTTTAGTAGGCTATTTTGAACATCCTGGAACAGGTTCCAGTAGTTCTACAAATGAGGTTCTTTGTAGAGAGGTATTGCTTTTTGAACTTTCCATTCCTTTTTCTTGGGCAGTGAAGGGCTCAGTTGTTTTTTGTAGGCTTTCTTTGAGGGCGTTTTCAGGCGTTCGCTCTGGTGTTCTTGGTCTAGGTTCAACTGTATTTTGCCTTAAACTCCGTCCATTTTCAATTTCTTGTAAGGCCAGTCTTAAGTTTTTGTCTGTAAAAGACGCTATGGCGGTTTTTCTTGTATATTTGCGAGGCATCTGAAAAAAATTAAATAATTGTTTTGTTGTTGGCAATTCCGGCCAGGCCAACATTTCGCCCTCGAGGCATGCCGGTATTGCCCCATATGTATAAACAGCATATTTTGAACAAGCTATTCGCTGAAATAAATAAAAACCCGATTTGTACAGTTTTAAAATACTATATACATACCTGTAAAATATTATGACCGTTATAAGCACTACCTTCACTTTTTAAATTTTCGTCTAAAATTCTCACGCATCTACTCCGATGACAGGACTAACAAACACTCAGCTGTCACTGTAATGGGTGATACCATGTGGTGATACCACGTTCGTGTAGGGGGATGCATAACTAGAACTGTGCTGTCCGGAATTTCCCCCAGGGTCGGAATTCCCCCAGTTTACCCTATATTAACTTATTTTATTTTTTATTGTATCTAAGTCAGAATAATAGTCCTTTTCACTTTCTACACTTATCTTATTACTCATAAAATAATATACTGTTAGAAGTTAAAAGAATTAACTTCAAAATTATTGTTTTAAAATGATTTATCACCCTGTATACTATAACACCCTGTAAAGCTACTTCACAAAACACGTCCTAACATGGTTTTATAATGTTTTATTAAATATCTCGTAAACAATGTTTAAAATGTAACTAATTAAGGAACAAAATAAAGAATGTCTTTAACGGCATATTGCCTATCACTTCATAGCGTTCGTCTGGTCGAAAGTCAAGTCCCCGCTCTCTCCTGGTCCTGGACACTGCAACGGGCAGACGTGGTACCGTCGACCCCAGTGGTGGCGATATCCTAATTCGCTGACTCTAACAATACTATAAATAATGATAATGATTAAAAACCAAATTACGATCGAGAGTACGATCGATGCTATCAAATAGTATATTACGTAAAAAGAGTTGTAAGTAACCCATTAAGCACAAAGCAGCGCAGCGACGAGTGTATAAATTTCGCGAGTGCGTAATGGGCTTAAAACTCGTGTAACGTACTATACTTTTTCTGTGTCCACTTATTTTCTTCTATTAAATAAAGAACATATGCTTGTGTCGCCAATCCATAAATTTTCGATTGGTAATTTTGGACCTTTCTTTGAATTTTAGCGATAACAAATTATGTATGGCAGCTTGAGCTTTTTTTTAAATCTCCGGTGCTCATAATTTTATCACTTTCACGACTAACAGTCATTTTCGTATATAAAGTTGAGAAAATGTTCGAATACAATAATTTGTTACAAAAATTGAGAATATAAATGACAAGACGTTTATTTCCATAGCGACTTTGTATTGTATAATGTGTTGCCGACATTTGGGGACATCACTTTTTTAATCCAGAATGTATCTCGCTAATGCTAAAAGTTTTTATGTTTTTCAATTGACTAAATTTATGTAAATAGACCAAATGAACTCATACGTAGATAAAAATTTGATTGCAATTTGATTAAACCAAGAAATTAAAGTTTTGTTATCAAAACACACGTGAATGTTATGAAATCTCATTACGTGCATGTTATTGTTAAATGTCATTTACAAGGAATGTTTACTGTGCGATTTTTAAAGTTTACTGACATGGGGGTAGAAAAACGAATATAATCACGACATTTCAAGAGTTGGTCGTGATTTATTTACAAGCTCACTTTCGTTTTGCGCATGTCTTGACAATTCGTTCCTATTCGGACCCAGGAACTGATTTGACAATACAGAAACTGGTTTGTGATTAGGTTTGAGTATGTTGGAACACTAGAATATTGTACAGTTTCGAGTCCGAGGTTTGTTGGGACACCAAATCTAGACTGCGCAGAATCCCGACAGTACGTAAACCGATTTGCTATTGTGTTGGAACAAACCTACAATAACCTAAAAATTTCGTGATTGTAATTATAGGTGCATTTTAATCATCCGCTTCTGCTTCCGGAATTGTCGGTTTAGTCGTTTTAACCTGTCAGATTAAAACAAGAAAACCGACAATTCCTAAGCAGAATCGGATGATTAAAATGCACTATATATTACTTGTATCTATCGTCCCTTGACAGCTCTAATTTGTATTTGTCAATCGAGTTCAGTTTTCATAGTTTTTGTTCATTATCATTTATTTGATTTTATGGTTTATTATTGAGTTTGTTGAAACTATACCGGAGAACTACTGCTCAGTTTATGTAGTCTACTACAAAAGACCGAATTAGACAAGGTACTCTAAACAACGATTAAAGGATATCCACAATAGATCTAAGAAGGTCGAGGTGGGGCAGGCCACATGGCCAACAGTCCTAATTAAATCTAAACTCTAAACTCTCGTGTTAAAAATGTGTTCCAAATTGAGTCCCAGTCCTCGACAGCTTGTCAATTACTAGTCGTCGACAGATTGTCAACAATAAGTTGTGGACTGGTTTTTTTATGATTCCAAGATCGTTGTTGGAACAAACCTTATATTGGGCTATTAATTATCATGGGACCTTCAATAATTCCACATACTGTAGTAGTTAATTGTTTATGTAAAATGTTTAGGTAAATGAAAGTAACAATACTTATTCTATTCCTCATAAATAAACTCCTGGAGAAAATTAAGGCAACATCATAAATTTGCCACATTTTTGATGCTATTCTTTTTTTTTTTAATTTATGATCCGATTTGAATAATTTTTTTTGCATTATAGGTTGGTTTCTTGACAATGTCATAATTTTCGCTATTTATGATTAAAAATTCGTTTTCGATTTATACCGGGTGTAATAAAAATGTAATGTTTTTTTCCGCAAATTCGTACCACCCTGTGGAGTATACTAGCAACCAAAACATATAGCAGTTGACATTAGACGGTAGGTTCATCTTTCGCTAACATTTCCTTTTTTCGTTTACTTCATTATCTCTATTATTAAAGGAGATATGCCGTTTTATAGCGTAACATGTTTTAATAGACTTTATTATTCAAAACATTCATTGTTAAATGTTTTCAAGAAGTCCTTTTCTGACATTTCAAGCGATGTGTCAATATCAAATACATTATTTTTTATCTGTATAACTGTATAATTTCTGCTCGCTTTGATAAATGAAAACAAAATTAACGAGTTACTTTATTTAATAAAGTAAAATTAAGATTATAATTGTGAGTTTATTAAACACAATTTTTTTTTGAAACTGGTGAAATATGAAAAGAAAAATCAAAAACAATAAAATTAATGGATTTGTAATGTTAATAAAGTGTATGCCTACCTCTACTTCGAATCACTGCATTCATATGCCTCGTCATACTGGAAATTAAATTTTTAATTGTATCTTGAGGAATACCCTCCCATTCGGCAATTACTGCATCCACCAGTTGATTGTGGTTAACCGGTACGGGATTGTACCCTCTATGGGATTTAAATCGGGACTGCAAGGTTACCATTCCACCAACGGAATAGCTACAGAGTTCGCATGTACCCTATAACTTGTCTAGCCACGTGGGGATGAGCATTATCCTGCATAAATAAACTATTCGGTCCCAAAAAAAGAACAAATGGAATTACATGTTCAATCACAATGTTTTCTAGATAATAATCGGCGTTCATTTATCTTACACGTATAGGGACTAACTCTGTGTGTCCGTTGAAGCATATTCCTCACCAAAACATTACAGAACCTCCACCAAACGGGATTTTTGGAGAGATATTGCAACTTGCAAATCTCTCTCCTGACCTTCGTCAAACACGTTCACGTCCATCAGGAGAATTGAGACTCTCGTTTCATCAGAAACTAAAACCTTCTTCCAATCATTAACAGTCCAATGATGATAATTTCTGGCAAAACGCAATCTTGCAACTCTTTGCTCTCTGGTGAGTAATTGTTTCTTTGTCGGTCTTGTGTTGCTTAAACCAGCCTCATTTAAACGTTTCCTGATTGTTTGAGACGATATTGTATGATGGCGAGCAATTCTAAGCTCACTATTTAGCCTAGTACTAGTAATCTTCCTGTTTCTTAGAGCAGTTTGCCTAAAAAAACGTTCATCCCTTGGATCGGTACATCGTTTTCTTCCTTATCCTGACCTTCGAGAGTAAGATCCTGTCTCGTTAAATCGTTCAACCATACGACTTATCGTCGAACGATGTCTTCCTTTCACATTAGCAACATGACACGTCGAATAGCCCTCATCCACTAAAGTTAAGGCTCTTACTGCTTCTTCTGCCGATACATTTTTTGGACGATTCATTTTTCAAGATTAAAATACTCGTGTCGGGCAACTGGGCATACGAAACAAACGTTTCTGAACAGTTTTTATCAGTATGGCGAATTTTAATTGACCTATCTAACTTTAAAACTCAACATCTGTTGACACATCGCTTGAAATGTCAGAAAAGGTCCATAGCCTACTTGAAAACATTTAACAATGAATGTTTTGATTAATAAAGTCAATTAAAATATGTTACGCTATAAAACGGCGTATCTCCTATAATAATAGAGATAATGAAGTAAACTAAAAAAGGAAATCTTAGCGAAAGATGAACCTACCGTCTAATGTCAACTGCTATATGTTTCGGTTGCTAGTATACTCCACAGAGTAATACAAATTTTCGGGAAAAAACATTAGATTTTTATTACACCCGGTATAAATTGAAAAGGAACTTTTTATCATAAACAGCGAAAATTATGACATTGTCAAGGAACCAACCTATAATGCAAAAAAAAATAATTCAAATCGGATCATAAATTCAAAAAAAAAAAAAATTGCATCAAAAATGTGACAATTTTATGATGCGTTATTTTTGTTTATAAAAAAAAGACAATTGTAATTCTTTTTTTAAGTTAATTTTGTAAATTAGTAGGTTATGAATTCAAATCCTTGTATAGTTATCTCAGACATGACTCGTATCTCTGTCTTTGTCTGTCATGGCCTACTTTAGAAACATGTTTTGTGATTCACTCGTTACATTTAACATTACGAGCCGTATTTATTATATTCCTTAGATATATTAAAAAAAAAACTATTTCAAGAATAGGGTATCTACCGGTAAAATCAATTGCATCTTCTCGGAATATTTTACTCGTCTCCAATAACCTGCCAGCTTTTCACACTCTACCTACTTATTAAAACGAATGACTTTCCTCTTCATTGTATCACACAAAAATGTCATATTGCACAAAATAACTAATCATTTATGTTTTTTAGATGATGAGTCTTCCCAAGCAAAAGCCGCTCCTGTCAAAAAATCATCTGAAAACGATCTCTACATGCGACTTGGGCTTCTGTTAGGCGACAGTGCAAAACGTTCCAAAAGAGCACAGGAATCATGTTCGTCTTTGACTAGTTATGATATTTCAACCGTTTTATCTGCAAACACGAGTCCAGTTTCAACTTTAACAGGTAGCTCTGAAGATCAGCACCGAACTAATCCTAGTTCGGACAGTGTGGCGTCTTTGATGTCTTTATCGATTTCCGGACAGAGTAACTGTAGTTCCAGTCCGCTAAGTAGAAGACATAGCGTCACCAGTAAGTATATTATTGAACAGTTTAATGTACAGTTTCCCTTTGAGGTCTGGAATAAAAGTTAATTCCAATATTTGTCTTCAGAGTAAGTTTTCGAGCACTAGCCGCCCATACATAAAAAATTGTATGCGCTCGTCTGCAATGTAGCAATTAAACATCATACAATCAAAGTTATTTGAAACAATACCTACTTCACTTTTATTTGTAAAACATAAACAAAAATTACATTCCATAAATTTCAGCAACTATTTATCAATAATGATTGTATTACTATCGTTTCAAAATTGTATTCATAAATAAAATTCATTATGGCTATCATAATAATTAATACTGCCATTGATACCTCAATAGTGTTGCGATTTTATTGCGCCCTCCACTTTTTGCGCCTTTTTTGCGATTTTTACTTGCAAAGGCGAGTAGTAATAACATTTTATATTTTTCGTTTTTACTCTCATAAATAACAAATCTGATAAACAGAGAAGTTTTTCTAAGTATGTAACCAAGAATGCGCATTTTTAAATTCAGCATGACTCTAATTGTTAATTGTAGTAAAGTATTCTTTATTTAAATCCTGGCATTCTTAAATTAACATTGCCCTGTTCAATTTTTGAATCAAAAGCTACATCCCAGGCAGCAGATTATGACATCTTATTTTCGTCATAAAGGGAGTCATTTATCCTCTGACAGCTAATGTGATAATGACGGTAAAATGACGTGAATATGTCACAGCCCAAAATGACGTCATATTTAGACGCCCTTTTCACGTCTAAATATGCAGGGCCGCTGAGAGCCAGGCCGGGCCCCAGGACAATTCTGTAGATCGGGCACCGTGATAAAAAACCAAACGCTGTTCTTCTTGTACTGAAATAGAATTATAGAATTTTTCCTAAAAAAAAAACTATTCTCCCTACCTCAATTACTTCTAAAAAAAAAAAGTACTCACATAAAAAAGCTATTCTCCCTACCTCAATTACTTCTCCTTCTAAAAAAAAAAACAAAAAAAAAACAAAAAAAAAACAAAAAAAAACAAAAAAAAAAAACAAAAAAAAAAAACAAAAAAAAACAAAAAAAAACAAAAAAAAAACAAAGTCATGCAGAACAAAAAAAAAGCTGTTGTCGGGCCCCCATTTCAGTCCGGGTCCCGGCTACCCCCCCCCCCTCTAGTCGGCCCTGTAAATATGACGTGTTTATGACGTTTCCTAGTAGTCTTTATAACGTCATTATGACATTTTTATAACGTTGTTTTAATGTCACCTTTGTCGTTATTAGGCATTCCAAACTGAATGGTTACCAGTGGGTTTTGACGGGTTATGATATAGCAAAATTATGGCAACCCTGTAGGCCTGGTGATTTGACAAGGTCAATGAAATAGATAGTTACATAGATTGATCATCCATATTTTTCAAAATAAACATAAGCTTATGCCTTGAAGTAAAAATGTAAGCAATTATTTTTTTTTTAATGTCTAAAGGCTAAAAATTAGTTTTAAAACACATTTTTTCTAAACCAATTCAAATTAATAAATATTTGCCAGGCAATATGGCCACTCGTAAACGACCAGCTTTGAGCAATCTATATAACTATATATGTATCATTGACCCTGTTAATGACAACATGACAACAGGGTTGCCATATCTAAACTGTCATTACCCACTGGTAGCCATTTGGACAGGTCGTTGGAATGCCTAATTCTTTATAGTTATTTGAGACGTCACCATGACGTTACATTTGATATTGTTACTCCTTTGTAACTTTTCTATAGGAACTGTGGGTCACTTAATAAAACAAAATTAGAAAATGAAATAATTATAATTAAAAAGAAAAAACAGTTTAAATACATGAAATGTTATTGGCAAAAAACATTAATTTATATAAATCCAACTGCTGCAAATATGGCCAACTTGTTCGTTATTATTTTGGTTTGGCACAATGATTTTTCTATGAGTGCCGCCATTTTATACTATTTCACAAACCTGGGAACATTTTAGAGGTATAAAAGATATAAAATCATTAAAGGAATAAGGATAATATATAGATATAAAAATACCTTATGCTGGGTTGATACTGACATAACTTTTTTCACTGACCTTCTCTTAACTTTTAACAACAATCCTGAATACACATGGGCCCACGATCCACGTTGCACACACCATTACACATGGCCGATGCAACAATCTGCGATACCGTTCTCGTGCTTGCTCAAACGGCTCGAACACACATGCAGAGATAAGGGAGATAAAGATAGGAAACGCTCATAAGAAGTCAATGCTTAATACCGACCAGCTTTAACGCAGTTAACATCTGACCCACTATGTGGCGCTGTCATCAATATCAAACAAATATTGCAGCGGGAAATTTAAAAATCTGATAATTAAGGTTGTATAAATATCGACTGCACTCTCACGTTCTGGTAAATAAATTTAAACAATGTAATTACGGTAAATTATTTATTAAAAAGAATACTACACTTACAGTCTATTATCGATTAATTATTGTAAATCTATTCATGACAAATATGTTTAAATTTTTGATCGTTATTGGTAGCATTAACATTTTTGTTCTTATTTTCCAAACGAATGGCCAATGGTGTCTTATTTAAAAGTATTGAGTGCAAACTCAATAATGGGAATTTAGATATTTTTCTTGCTATATCAAATCTTCTTTCTAACGTTTTGAAGCCATTGTCTTGCTCCAAAACAATAAATAGTAAATAAATACTTACTTTGTGACAAAATTTGGCTACTACTTGTGTAACTTACATGACTAGATCTTACTTTGGTTAATTAAAGAACACCACATTGAGGTTGTTACATTTATTCATGTGGCATGTGTTACTAATGCAATACGTTCTCCAACTTGTTGTAATATTACAAAATATATTTATTGTTCTCAAATTTCACACAAAAACAGCTACAACCATTTCGCTTAGTTCATCTAGAGGATAACACAATCGTAAACTCTAAATTTAAAATTCAAATTCAGGATTCTACGATATACATACAACTAACTTACATTTATATTTACAAACTGTCCGCGTTTACAGTCTGTCTACAACTTTTCTTCTGTGCTACAACTGACGTGTACCTTTAGTTAACATCTGAGACGCATAGATGACGCCATAGTTACTGCGGTCGCTGCGTTTCCTATCTATATGTCCCTTATCTCTGCACACACGAGCCCTACTCCACAGACCGATAACCATAGACAGACGCAGTTATGTGTCACGTGGTGTCATACAATCTTTATGCATTTAAGCGCCAATTTAAACGTTAATAGACCTAAGAGTTTAAAAAAATAATTGTTTAGGCCATATTTTTTTACATAAATAAAATGTATTGAAATTACATTTAATATAAACCTTAATTTAATAGTGACAATAAATTGACGTCATGACGTCGAATTTGTGATGTCAAAAAGACGTTAAAAAAGTGACGTCATAATCACCTCATTTTTTGGTCACATAACGTCGATGACCAAGAATTACCAAAAATGGTGCGTTTGATTTGATCATCGGAGATCTCCGAGCGCTGCAAACGTGTTTGAATTGACACTCCGAGAGATCCCTAAAGTGTTTGTTTTGCTTTGGAGCGAGAACATAGAGCGAGCTCAATGTTCTCAGAGCAGATGGATCGAGAAGAGGGAGAAATTTGTCTTTGTCTCTACCTATCTCTTTTTAACTAACTTACAAACATATTTGAATCTCAAAATTAAATACGAGACAAGAAGTCAACAAATTACTTAGCCGCTTTTGTCTTATAGCTAAAATTATTCGTCATAAAAAACACAAAATGTGTGTTTCGAAAATACATTTTCTCTGTCCAGATCTAATCACCAGTAATCACAGGCATGGAGTATGAGAGCGAAGCGGGCATTTGTGGTATATGCTGCATTTCAGGGCCATTACCCCTTATTATTAAAAGTTTTTTCATTTTCTTTACTTTTTGCTCACTATTTTGACACACAAACCAGAAATAAGAATTACAAAAAAGCGAGGTTATGTTTTTTACTCTGTTTTATTTGATTTGATTTAATGCTCTATTGTGACGTCGTCACATCTCGGTCTCCTCGACGCTCGCTCGATCGAGTTTCAAATCAAACGCCCCTATTATGTCGTCAAAATGTCGTCAGTCTGCTGCCTGGGATATAAGCACCAACATTGTTAATTTCAAAACAAATATAGATTATGGCATACTTGGCTCAAAAACAAGCCCGAAAATGCTTATTTTTTGCTTAAAATGAGCATGAATTTCTCTTTGTGTAGTCAAAACAGACAAATACCCTATTAAGAAAACTTATGTCAAAAACGTATTGAATATAGAGTGATTACTTATGAATTACCATAAACTCTTATCCCCTCTATTTTGTGATTTTAAATCATATTTTGAGGCCAATATTTTGGCTTTTTTATGTTGGTAATAAAGTTGCTCTTTTTGATCAATAATTGCGCTTTTTATGCTGGAGTTTTGCGCTAATCGTTTCTTCGGTATTGGCAACCCTGTACCTCAATGTTAGGATACGGAGTGGAGGAAGTTTTATAGGATACAGGCTGTGGGACCTGGTCTGCTCTATTTCAAGGAAGGTGTGCTCTATCGAGGCCACCTAATTGTAGGGGATCTTATTTGTGAAATCCCATCTTGTGAATCAAACAATTATGTAAATGTTAATAAATAGTGTATATGAAATGCCCTTATAAAGCTTGATTTTTCCTGAAGATTTCAATTTGATATCGTTTTTCATTTATAAGTTGGGATTTTTCAAAATTTCAACCCCTCCCCCCTTATCAACACTCCATTTTTATCTATATTATTTAGAATTAATAGGATTTATTCCTTTAGAGAGCTTGCTTTTGACTAAAAATTTATATTATTTTTCGTTTTTGAGTTTGGATTTTTTAAATATTTCAACTCCCATTTTAATTCAGATTTTTTCAGAATCAATAGACTTTCATGTTAATATACCTTTTCGTTTTTGTTTTACGTTTTTTTTTTTTAATTTTAACTACCCTCAATCCCCCATTTTAATCAGATTTTTTTTAAATCATAAAGCTTTGTTCCCTTATAGAGCTTGTTTTTTACTAAAAATTTCAAGTTATCATTTTTCGTTTCTGAATTAGGATATTTTTTTCATTATTTTAACCCCCCTTATCCCCCCATTTTTAATCAAATTTTTTTGAGAATCAATAGGCTTCATTACCTTATTTTTTATTTCAATCTTCCTTACCCCCCCCCTCCATTTTGTTTTCAATATTTTTTTTAATAGGCTTTGTCCCCTTATAGAAAAATTTCAAGTTATTTTTCGTTTTTGAGTTAGAATTTTTTTAAATATTTCAACCCTCCAACCTCTCATTTTTATTCAGATTTTTTTAGAATCAATAGGCTTCATCCCCTTATAAAGCTTGATTTTTCCTAAAGATTTCATTTTCTGTTTCTGAGTTAGGATATTTTTCAATAAATCGCCCTTATCCCCTATTTTTATTCATATTTTTTTTTAGAATTAATATGCTTCATTACCTTGTAGAGTTTGAGTTTTACTAAGAATCTCATGTTGATATCGCTTTTCATTTTTGATTTAATTTTTTTTTTTTAATTTCGACCTCCCTTAAACTCTTTTTTTTTTAGAAATCAATGGGCTTTTCCCCGTATAGAGCTTGATGATTTTTGCTAAAAATTTCAATATCTTTTTTCGTTTTTGCCTGGAATACTATCGCATGTGTACCTAAGCTCAGTGAGATTCTTGTCTTTGGCTTGGTACTATATATACCTATTCCTGAACCTTCATGGGTTTTGGAGCCGCCTGTGAATTCTGCATGAATAGGAGGTCCTCCCATTTACGCTTCGTTGTCTGGTATACTTACTTTATATTACTTTTGAAAGTTATACTTGTTGTGCTCTTTTGGGTGATTTTTGCAAGTGTTGATTCCTTGTTAACATGTGGTCAAAGATGACTCCTCTTGAGCAAATGGAATCTTCACTCCTTTCAATACTAGTGACTTACCTGTTAGTACTTTTTGTTTTGTAAAGTTGACTATTGTGGTTTTGTGAGGGTTTACTGTTAGTTCTTCCTCTCTGCACCACTCGTCAACAATGTTTAGAGTGGTTTGTGTGCGCTCCGATATTGTACATGCGAACTTGCCTCTTACGACGATCGCCAGGTCATCGGCATACCCTGGCAGTAGAAATCTGCAGATATTAGCCTTTTCATGAGTTTGTCCACTAGGACTGACTAGAGGAGGGGTGATAGTACTTCTCCCTGGGGACAGCCCCTGCCTGCTTTAGCTGTCAGTATAGCTTCACCTAGAGATGATGTTATTACCATTTCTTCTATGCTGGCTTTTATCCACTGACATATGACTACTGGTACCCCTTTCATTGTTAGGGCGTTAATTATAGATCTTGTTTGGACATTACTAAAAGTTCCCTCAATATCTACGAAAGTTGCTACTACCATTTCTTTATCCTCCAGGGATTTTGACAATGTCCTGTAGAGATCATTCAGGGCCTTAATGGATATTTGACCATGTAGTGCAGAATAATGTTCGGAAAATTGTGTATTTGCCCTATGTTTTTTTGTTTTAGAATTTATAAATATAGTGGATATACTATACAGGGTATTAGTATATTCGACCGACAATGCTCTATCCCAGAGAACTCTCGTTAATTGGTAAATTTTGATATATGACATAAACCCTTACAGGGATTAGGTATCAAGATACATGATGTTAAAAGTTTGAAATCTAAATTTAAATTTTGCTATATATTAAAAACCCCTTTAATATTTTCTTGATGACCAATTTACTCTTTAAAAAAGTAATATTTCAAATTATATTAACTTTTAAAAAATATAACAAGTGGCGCGCTATTAGGATTAGTGAAAACTTCTATTCCCTATTTTATACGCCACTGGAAAATTTTTTTTTATTTTTTTAAACCTTTTGTTTTTTTTTTAGTTGAACAAAAAAATAATGATGAACTTTTATGAAGCTAAAATGAACGGTGTTGTAGAAATTTGCTTTTAAACAAAAGTCTGCAAGTTCTTGGGTAATTTGTAACTACTCAATATTTCTTAATTGTAAAGTAGACATGTGTCAAATTTTAATAGTTCGTGTATTTGACAAGATCTTGGTAGATCAAATTTGAAAAATATTTAAAGGAGTTTTTGATTTATGTAAAATTTTTAATTTTGATTTCAAACTGATAACACCTCTATCTCGATAACTAAGCCCTTTAAGGGTTCATGTTCCTAAGTCAAATTTCATCAATTAATGAGAGCTCTCAGAGATGGAGCGTTGCGGTTGAATATAGTGACACCCTGCATATCGTTTTTGGAAATCACGTAAACCTCGCACTTTTCATATTTACAACCTACCTTTGTATGTAATTCTACTCTTTCAAAAATGTTAAAAACCAAGCATAACATTAGGACAAATATCTTTTACTCGCGCCTTCAGCAGATATGATACAACTTCGCCACAACCTGAAGTTTATAAATATTCATAGAGAAAATTTAATATTCTCCAAAATAATGATAATATTCTAAAATGTAAAGCTTCTCCAGATCTAATCACAACCGCGAGAATACGAGTATATTCCATCAATGAGGTAGTGTACTCTCTAGCATCCTTGCTATTCGCTCCGTGTGAAGTCATGGAAAGGGAAGCAAAAGCGATACTAGCGCTAGCTGCGGATAATTCGTGCATTTTAAGGCGATATTTTGTAATTTTGGCATATCAAATACAAGTATACATTTTACTTTTTTTCAAAAAAGTAGGTAAAAACAATATAATAAGCAACCGGAGTTGCTGTGTTAAAAATTGTACAAATACTAGCAAAAAAACAGTGAAACTTATATAAAAAAATTCAGTAGGAAAGTTGAAATTAAATCAAAGAAATAAATGGATAGGTATACAATAAGAAGAAAAATTTCCTTTATTTTTGTAATAATAACAATAATGCTGGAAATAGTAGATATCAAAATCTTGAAAGGTTTTAAATAAAAAATAAATTTTCATTTTACGATGTTCTTTAATATCCCTTTATTGTGACTTACTGATGGGAAACAAGTTTTAATCATTCATTCTATGTTTTCTTTTGAACAAAAATGAAAATATAAATAACGATCCTTTTTTTATACATTTTAACTTCACACGAATATTAAATGGTATTTTTTTATTTTGACAGAATAGGCCAATTCTTCAATGACAACTTATTAGACTTAGGCAACTTCTCATACATTTTTCAGTAAATACTGTTGCCTGTCTATATTTTATTATTGATTTTTATTGATTATACATAATTTTCTTTAATTTAAGCGATAAAAATATATAATAATAATAAATTAATGTTTTACTTGTTTTACAAATCTATATACTTTTAATAAAACTAACATATACAGTGAGCACCATAAGTCTTACCCCCCCTATCTAACTCGTTACTGGAGTCTTGTTAGGAAAATCGCCGAGACACGTCGATTTTTGATTTCTACAATGTACATTTTTGTATGAATGTTTACCCTTAATTTCATCCCTTACTGGAGGGGAGCAACCCTTTCGAAAAATTTAAATGGCATGGGGTGGTGATTTATAGCTCATTTGAAAGAGGGTTTTATTCTCTATTAAACCGTGTAAAAAAATTTGAAATTTACTTCATTAATTCTCGACTAATTGTTGTTTCAGAATAACGGAAATTAACGTAGCGCACTCATCCTTAGAATTAAAATTCGGCCCTGCATGATTTCGGTTTTGGTTCAGACGTGAAGTAAGACTTTTTGCCATTAGAAGGTCACTGTTAGTCTAGTTACTTTCCTATTTTGTGAGGTTTTGTTATTTTTAAACATTAATAAATCAACACGTATTGAAGCAAATTTCAAAATTTTTTACACGGTTGAATAGAGAATAAAACCCCCTTTCAAATGAGCTATCACTCACCACCCCATGCAATTTAAATTTTTCGAAAGGGTTGCTACCCTCCAGTAAGGGATGAAATTAAGGGTAAACTAATCATGCAAAAATGTACATTGTAGAAATCAAAAATCGACCTGTCTCGGCGATTTTCCTAACATGACCCCAGTAACGAGTTAGTTAGGGGGGGGGGGGGGGGTAAGACTTATGATGCTCACTGTATACTTAATTACGAATTCTAATAAAAATTGTATTTGTCAGTATATGCAGAAATAGTCCATTAGTACCAAAACGAATTGGCGCTGCAGTCGCGCACGGAGCGAATAACAGAAGTAATTGGAAACTGTCGAGACTGTCTGGCGCTAATTTGACATTTTAGACATCAATGAGCGGATTGTTGGGTTGATCTCCTTTTAACTCTGAAGACAAATATGATAATATGAAGCAAAAATAATATTAAATTAGTAATTGCAAAAAACCCTGACTTCAAAGAGAAACTGTTTATAAAAAAAGTCGATTTTGTTATTCTAAAACAATCGATTTATTCAATGTCCGAACTGGAGTGGTATCTAACATTAGGAATATTTTTAAAATAATAATTTTATTCTTACAATTTTAGCTTCCCAACCTAACCCAAACGAACATATCAGATACAGAAAACCTGGTGCAAAAATAACCAAAGCTGAAATTTCGAAACACTCTGTAGACCATAGGATACGTTCAAGACAATATGGTCCACCACAGCTTACCTTTAAACCATTATTTTTCGAAGTACCCCTGCAAGAGCCTGATCCTTTATTCATAGGACGTCATTGGCTAATAAAAGAGATAGAAGATGTGATTAGTAAGTACTGATTAATCGTTAATTGATTATGTAAAATACCTAGTAAGTTATTACATTTTTATTTAAATATATACTTCCTTTTTATAGATTCCTCCAGTCCAGGCGTCCTGCTCACCGGCAATCCAGGCACGGGAAAAACATCTCTAATTCTCCAATTAGTTGAATACAGCTGTTTCGGCCGCAGAAAAGAATCTTCCTACCATCAAGTTACTCCACGTTGTCCCCAATCTATTTACTATCAAATTGATCTGATAAAAGAAAAAATTAGAAACCTAGCTATCTCCACGGTAGCCTACCACTTTTGTCAAGCTGATAACAACTACACTTGCTCTGTACCTGATTTCATCCATTCTTTAGCTGCCCAATTGTGCCAAGCGCCTCAGTTGGTAGCTTATAGAGATCATCTAGTATCTGAAACCGACTTACAAAATATTCTAGCTCTTAAAGAATGTATAGCAAATCCTGATATTGCGTTTACTAGAGGAATTCTTGAACCTTTATCGTGTCTTAGACGCTTAGGAAAGATAGAAAATATAAATTGTGTTATTCTTATAGATGCTCTTTGTGAAGCTGAATATCATCGACCAGATCATGGTGATACTATAACAACATTCCTACTTAAGCATATTCCTAGCTTCCCTTCGTGGTTGAAGATTATTTCTACAGTACGGACTCAACTTGAAGATGTGACAAAACAATTACCTTTTACTAGGATATGTCTGGATAACATACAAACTAATGAAAATATTCAGAAAGACATTATAGCTTATATAAATTTTAGAGTACAGAATAATGCAACTATACAGAGCAACATCCAACTTGCAACTAATGGAAAAATTGAAAGCATGAACGTTTCTCAAAATAAGTTCGCTCAACATTTGCTGAGTACAAGCCAAGGTTCATTCTTGTTTGTCAAATTGACGTTGGACCTTTTAGAAAAAGGGCAGTTGGTTGTTAAGTCGTCGGGGTACAAAGTTCTACCTGTAAATTTGGCAGAAATCTACCTCTTACATTTTAATCTAAGATTTCCTACTATACGTTCCTTTGAGAAAATCACTCATATTCTAAGCGTTTGCTTAGCAGCTCTCTATCCTCTAACCGTTTTAGAAATTTATTATTCTGTTAACTCTCTATTAGTTGATAATTTTCTTCCTTGGAATGAATTTTTGCAGAGGTTCAAGCTTTTATCAGGGTTTTTGGTGAAAAGGTTGGATAATACGTATATGTTCTTCCATTCTTCCTTTAGGGAGTGGTTGATCAGAAGAGATGAAAATGATGCTATGAAATTTTTATGTGATTTAAGAAGTGGACATGCTGGAATAGCTTTTAGGTAAATTTATACAGACAAATAAATTGAATGAAATAATTTATAAATGTTCATATTTTATTTTAGATTGTCAAGAGTACAAGCTCCTCTAGACCCCGAAAAAACACTTGAACTGGGTCATCATATTCTAAAAGCCCATGTGTACAGGAACATGTCTTTCGAAAATCTGACTGCTAGAGATCTTCAAGCCAAATGGGTAACAGAAAGCTCAGAAAATGTATCTGAAGCAATATGTCATTCAAGAAACATGTACTGCCCTAACGTGAAAGTATCTAGGCTGATGCTTTTGGCTGGAGCTTCCCCTAACTACGTCACGGATCTTTTAGGCAATGCCCCCGTGCTTTGTATATACGCTAACGAAGGTAATATATATAATAGCACTTTATGTAACCAGTTATGAAATGCCTTATTTTGTGTAAATATTTGCGGGACGGGCGGAGCGAGGTCACGCAAAATGAACTAGTTACACAAAATAAGGCATTTCGTAAGGTGTTATATACAAGTTTTTTTCTAATTTTAACTTGATTATTTATAAAATTGTGTTTGGTTAAAAAATTATTTACCATCATTCTTTTGTAGGTACTTCGAATCAAATATTTCAGAAAATTGTTGTATTTGATTACCCTACGTTTTTTTTTTTCAATATTAATAAGAATAAGGGACATGTGCAGTGTTGTCGATCTGATTTTTGACATTACCCGCGGGAAATTTAAAAAAAAAATTTACCCTTTATCCTTAAAGGAGTACCTCAAAATTTTACCCTCAATATTTCTGAGCAGTTTTCATATTAAAAAAAAAACGCAATTTACAGCATTTATTTATTTTTGTTGTTGTTGTTGTTGTTGTTGTTGTTGTTGTTGTTGTTGTTGTTGTTGTTGTTGTTGTTGTTGTTGTTGTTGTTGTTGTTGTTGTTGTTGTTGTTGTTGTTGTTGTTGTTGTTGTTGTTGTTGTTGTTGTTGTTGTTGTTGTTGTTGTTGTTGTTGTTAAACGTAATGTGAAATGTCACTATGCATTGCCTTTTTTCGATATTTCGATTTTTGATTTAAAAATCAAAACGGCATTTTTATTCATTTTCATTTCGTAACTGGTGACGTAATCGACTTTTCATAACCAGTTGCATTATGTTCTACTTTATGCAACTGGTTGCATAAAGTAGATTGTTCTTGTATTGTGTTGCAGGGGTTCGGTTGATGTATATCAAAACACGTTGGAAGGTACGAACTGTTTATTGCGGATATTAAATATACAGGGTGTCCGCCGGGAAGGTATAAATTATTTTCTAACTCTACATGAATGATGTTTATGTGACAGGTGATAGCCCTCTTCTAAGACATCAATATCAGCCATTCCTACATCCAAGGGTCTCCTACTCAGGGCATCTGGTACATAAAATGTTTTTCCAGCGACATGTTCAATATGGTAATCAAACCTTGTAAGTCTGAGGCGAAATCTTTGTAGTCTTATTGTTAAGTCATTAATGGCTTTCTTTTTTAAAATTGTAAGCAGAGGTAAATGATCGGTTTATATGGTAAACTTTTTACCGATTAAGAATTCCTCAAAACGTTCACATACCTATACACAGGCAAGGGCTTCTTTTTCGATTTGGTCAAATCGTTGTTGAGTTTCGCTAATATTTTTTGAACAGTACATTACGGCAGCCCATCTGCCATCATCTTGTTTTTGTTGCAAACATCCTCCAATTCCAAATGATGATGAATCTGCTTGAATAAGGGTTTCTTTATTTGGATCGTATAATTTTAATACTGGGGCTGTTGTAACCATATTTTTAGCTTATCGAAGCATTTTTGATGTTCGGCGTTGAATTTTAATATATTTTTTTGTTTTAGTAGGGGCTTAATTTCTTCAGCCGTATTTCCCAAGAATTTGGTTAGGTGGTTTGTCATACCCAGAAACTGTCTCACATTTGTAATGTTCTCTGGTTGTGGGAAATCAACAATTGCCTTAATGTGGTCACTGTCAACTTTGATGCCATCATGTCCGATAATGTGTCCCAGTAAATTGATTTGGTTTATACCAATTTGGCATTTGTGTTTATTTAAAGTTAGTCCATTAGTTTTTAACAAATTTAATGTCTTTGCTAATATTTTGTCATGTTCTTCTACTGTTTTAGCGTAAATGGTTATATCATCCATATGTACTAATACATTTGGCATCCCACTCAACAGCTTGTCCATTGCATGTTAGTATACTTCTGGGGCTGATGTTATACCGAAGTGAAATCTAATTTTGAAAATATTTTTGCTTCGTGTACTTTTGCCAGGGTGGAATCAACTGTTGGCAATATCATTTTCTCTCTGCACACAAACTTATTTAATTCAGTATAGTCTGCACATGTTCGCACTTGTCCTGATTTTTTTAGTACACAAACCATTGGTGCACACCAGGGGGTAGGATTGTTCACATAAATTTCTTCAATGATGTCTGGCGACCATTTTTTTAGCTCGGTTTCAACTTTTTCTAGGAGTGGAATAGGTACTCTTCTTGGCGTCGTTATTAAATAAGGAACGGCATTTTCTGAGATTTGAATGTTTTACTGGAAGTTTCTTAGTTTTCCAATTCCTTGGAATATTTCTGGGCACTTTTCAACTATTTTCTCAACATTTTTCATTTGCAATTTGATCTATGTATTGAAACAAATTCAATTTTTTGATGGTTTTCCAATTATCTCGATTTTTTATGACAAACATCTTTATTTTATATATATGCCCTTCCAGTTAACTGGTACTCTTATTTTGCCCAATACTGGTATTGTAAAATCTCCTGATCCCTTTAATTTTGTTGTTGTTTTCTTGTTAAAGGTTTAGTTTTTTTAAATTATCTTCACTAAGTATGCTTACATCCGCTCCGGTGTCTATTTTAAATTATGCCTGACTCCCTCTAATATCCAGGTTTACTTTCCATTGTGATTTTTGTTTATTTTTTATTTCATTAATTATCTGTCCTACTTCGTCAGTGTCTGATGAGCTTGATTCTGATGTGTCCACTATTTCTCTCACACTCTTCTTCTTTGAGTATCGAGTTTTGCAAAATTTGCTGTAGTGGCCTTTTATGTTACATTTTGTGCATTTGGCATTAAAAGCAGGACATCTTTTTAATTCGTGACTTGGTTTTGCACCGCATCTTCCACACTGTGGGTATATTCTAGTGTTTGAACTTGTTTCTGCCCTTTGGTAGTTTTTTTTTGTTGTATTGCCCTGTTAAGTGATTCAGTGGCTTTTAAGGATTTGTTTTGTATTTTAACTCTCTTATTTTGAAGAATTTTTGTTTTGACTATATCTAATGTTAAGTTGCTATCTAACTGTAAGGTCTCTGACAGTTTATTGTACCTCAGGCCTACCACCAGTCTGTCTCGAATGAGTTCATCTGTCATTGGCCCGTAATTGCACGTTTTACTCAAAGCAATCACTGAAGCAATGAAATCTTGTGCACTCTCGCCTTCGTGCTGTGTCTTACTATTAAACTTAGCGCGTTCGAAGATAACGTTCACCTTTTTTACGAAGTAATCATCTAAAAACTCTGTAACACCTTTGTATGTTCTCATTTCTTCATCACGGGGTGTCACATTATCAAAGAGTTTATTTATTTCTGGGCCTTTATGAAGTAATAGACTATCTACTTGAATTTTTTCTCCAACATTTACCAGGCCTGTAACATTTCGATATCTCTCATATGTTTTCAGCCACGGGTTTCAATCAGCTGGTTCGAACGAAAATCTTTCAAGTACTGGCACTTGATGTATTACTGTGGTGCCACCAAATACTCGACAATTATTAATCTAATCTGGGTTAGTAACCAATGTTACCAACTACCGTACAGTTTTGACACTTGCTGTGATTACAAAGTATGTCACTTTATATGTCAAAATTAGAAAAAACAAGTTTTCAGCATAATAGATGATACTAATTGACTATATTTTTTATTCGTTTCAGGTATCCTCCCAATGGTGTCATTGCTCTTAGAATTTGGAGCTGACGTAGAACTAGCAAACAGCCAAGGTTGCACAGCACTTTCTCTATCATCCGCTAGAGGTCATTGCGACGTAGTTCGGCAATTAATAGCTGCGGGGGCTTCCCCCGGTCACGCTGACACAGGTGGCTATTGTCCACTAGTGCATGCTGCCAGGAATGGTTTTCTTAACGTTGTTGGGTATCTTTTAGCCTGCGATTGGATATCTAAAAACGAAGAGGATGTACCAATAGATGTTGCAGCTCAACAGGCCTTGATAGCAGCAGCGGGACAAGGCCATAGTGAAGTTGTTGAATACCTTTTAGACATGGCCGAAGTCAATATTAATAACCCAGATAATATAACAGGTAATGTATATCTTCTATACCAGATAGGTATATTATATTTTTGCAAAATCTTTAATATTTCAGGCGAAACAGCTCTCTCCGTAGCATCTTCCAACGGTTGCCATGGCGTGTGTTCAGTACTGATCAATAGGGGTGCCAATATATGTACTACAAACCGAAAAGACTTATCACCTTTATTACTAGCTGTCAAAGAAGGACACTGGGCTGTTGCTGAAAGGCTAATCCAAAACCATGCTGCTATCGAACAGTGCGATTCTACTGGTAGATCTCCACTAATGATTGCATCGTCAGAGGGACATTTAGGGATCATAGAGTTATTGCTAGATAGAGGTAAAGTAAATGAATTGCGATTTTCATTTTTAAAAAATATATAGGTTACTATTTAAACGTGACAAGTAAGAAAAAGATACCCAACTAATAGATAAGAATAATTATTTATTCTATATTTAATAATGAAAATAAAATTGAAAATAAATATAAATAAAAAAAGGTTATGTAATTTTTTTACAGGCGCTGATATAAACAAAGAAGATAAAGAAGGTTTAACCCCACTAGGATGGGCTTGCCTCAGAGGCAAATTGCAAGTGGTACAATGTCTATTAGAAAGAGGAGCTTCTATAAACCATACAGACAAATCAGGCCGTATTCCCCTCGATTTGGCTGCTTTTCAAGGAAACCAAACTGTTGTTCAATACTTGGTCGATAGGGGAGCGACGATAGAACATGTTGATATTAATGGAATGAGACCACTAGATCGTGCGATAGGTTGTAGAAATATTCAAGTTATAAGTTGTTTTTTGAAGAAAGGCGCAAAATTAGGACCAGCAACATGGAGTATGGCTCATGGAAAGCCTGATATATTGTAAGTATTTTTCTTGCATACATTTTTTTTTTCAAATAATTTGATTATAAATTTTATATTACAAAATATTTTTATTTCCAGGTTAATTCTTCTAAATAAACTTCTTGAAGACGGAAACGTCCTGTATAGAAAAAGTAGGCTAAAAGAGGCTGCTCATCGATATCAATATGCCTTAAAAAAGTTTCCCGTGGAAGACCAAGGCGAACATAATAAGCCTTTTCGACAATTAAAAATCAACTTCTTGTTAAATTTTTCCCGATGCAAAAGAAAGTTAGGGGTAAGTATTTTTCTACAGTTTGATAATAATAGTATGCTCTAGATTTCCATAGATATTAAAAATGTTTATGAGAATTTGTTCTTTTCGTCTTTTTACAGATTTTGATGTTTTTTTACCAGACTTTAACTTTGTGAGGCCCATGTAACGTTGTAAAAAACCTTGTACCAAGGGATTTTACAACTCTCCGATACTCTCAGATACTGATGCAAATTTAAATTTATGGGTCGGTGAGATTCGGCTAGAATTTAAACAACAAATTAATGATACTGTAACGTCCCAACCCCTGGTACCCCATTTTATCGTTGTTTTTACTCTCTGAAATGTTATTATTTACCTCACAAGTTGATGTTGATTTCGTTCTATTCTAGATATACACAGGTTGTACCCTCTTAGGTAAATATTTCGACGAGTATAGAGGTGATAGACCAACGGAAGTAACGAACAGCGCCAGTTGGTTACCTTACTATGTTGATTTCACATATACTTTGTTTCAAACCTAGTAGAATGGGTGGCTTAGCATATAGGTATCCCTCCTTGAGCTACCAGCGCCAATTTGCCAGTTGGTTACCTTACTATGTTGATTTCACATATACTTTGTTTTAAACCTAGTAGAATGGGTGGCTTAGCATATAGTTGTCCCCCCTTGAGCTAACGTACAGTGTATTCACCAGTTGGTTAACTTATCATTAAATTTTACCATCTCTGTTTGTACAATTTATCCAAGATAGCACATCCCTGAATATTTCTAAAATACTGATTTTTATAATTTCTATTGAAATGACTTAATACTAGTGATCGGTCGCTTGGAAAAGTCCCCAGACAAATCCGTCGGACTAGTCTGAAAGGTTGACTAGTCCAAACTCACTTTTCAAAAGTGGAAAAGTGTATGCGTGAAATTAAATTGCCTAATTTGTCTAAATTTCTTACAAAGGCAAAATATTGTTTAAAAAAGGTGAAACGAGAAATTATTACGGACTTTTTATGTTTTAATGGTGTTTTCAAATTTTTGTTTTATATCTCATTAAAATAAAAAAGACCAAAAAATCAAAAAGTTGGAAAAATATTACAAGTGATTTGCCAAAAAAAAATTAATATACGAATGCAAATATTCCCAAAGTGTTTAGGAAATAACATCAAGGATAGAGAAACTTTTAACTGTGTGTCTTCTATGCTTAAGGTCAACTACTTTTCACAAATTTTCAGTATTTTTCCGGACATGTCCGTCGGACTAGTCCAAAAATTACTTTTCATGAAAAGTCCCATCTCTACTTAATACAACCCTGTGTATATATTTAATATTGATTATTATAATTTCTATTGAAATAACTTAATACAACCCTGTATAATTCTTAATATTGATTTTTATAATTTCTCTTGAATTGACATAAATTCACCCAACGAAAAACAAATGGCTAACCTAACGTCTTTCGGGGTGAACAACTGAAGGCCATATGGTTTATTGGTTACATTGATAATATTTTAAAGCAAATGTCAGGTCCTCGTCTGAACGACCCCGGTGGTATCTCAAAGAAAGGTATATAAATCTTTTGACTCACCATTGAAAATACAGATATTAGATTCGTTTATAGTAGACATTATGTACTAATTTCATCTAGCGTTGTGACGGCGTCGATTTAGGTACGTCACAGCGTTGAGCGTCGCCTTACGTCGAGGCGCCTAGCGTTGTGGTGGAGAGGAAGGTATTTATTTAATACGGTACTGCATTGGGACAGATATACGGTAGAAATATTTAGGTGGTGCGGGACGTGACGAAGGGTGTCGACAAGGATATTACGAAGGAAATATTTAGGGACGGCAAGGGTCGGGAAATAAGGCGTGGGACGTTCAGGGGATAGGAGATAATGTAGGATATACGTTGTTTAGGAAAGGTACTGAACTTGAAATATAACTGGATACAAATAAAATGATAATAAATAATAATAATAATAATATAATAATAAATGATAATAAATACACGTTTTAATGGCTTTTTGTGACGTCTCAGTTTCTCTCAGTTCCGTGTTAACGGGGTGGATAAAAAAGGGGTGGTCGATTTATTACTTACCTTGAAAAATGTGTGTATCGAAACAACGTTACTATTCAAACGCACTTAAAATAAGTGCGCTAAGTGTTTCTTGGGTTGGGTTGCCAGACACGTGCACGAAAATTGGATCTCTTAAGGACAGGGTTATAGATATTATTTGTTAAGTGTCGTAAATAAGATTTCATTATCTGGGAGATTTTTCTTTAAATGAAGGATTTTTAATTTAATAAGAATGCAATATTATATTTAATAAATGGAATTAATAAATTATTAAGGTACCTGAGTGAGGTAGGTTACAGTACTATCTTTAATAAAAAAGAATAAAAAGAAAGTTAAATTAATACTTGTGGACGCCACGTATTTAGTTGTTGAATAAACTCAAATTATGCCATGAACTTGAATCGAAAGTAAGAGATTAAAACAACAATACGTAATAAAATTTAAAAATATAATGGTTGTAAAATGATTCTATTTGACAAAATTTTAATGATAAGATAACTGATTGACAGGTATTTTAAAATGTTCTCGGTCAAAATGGTATAGGTTTCGGTTGACACTTATCTTTTTCGTGGTAGCCGGTTGAGACTCTGGAGCACTCCGATGGGGATGAAGACTGACACTTCCTTAAATGTTCTCTACAATTTCCAGGACAGACTTCTGAAAAGTCTGACCAGGACTAGAGACGGCTCAAGGCTCCTTTGTCCGTAGGACATTCGGTATGCTGGTTAGGTTCGCCTACTATACTCGGACAAAATATTGAGGAAGGTGATTCCTCCCTGTTCACGTACAACAATCATACTATGCCAGAGCATAATGAATGGAATCACGCGCTTAAAACTGCAGAAGTTATCGGTATCACGTGCCAACTAGTCCTAAATGCATGTTTATTGCCAAAATGTATTACGCCACTGGCGTATAAAAACTAATTACATGCGGTAATAGTAAATAATATTAGATGAAAGTAGGTTGGTTATCTATTTTTGTAGTAATAATCATTTGTTTATAATTTTGTTTTGTTTATTGTTAAAATATGTAAATATTATGCCAGTGGCATAGAAACACTATTGGAAAATTAAATGAGGTATTATACTAGAACAAAATATTGAAGAAGGTGCTCCTTAAAACTGCAAAAGGTATCGTTATATCAAAATGGACTCTTCCAGTGTCGCAGAAATACTATATTGGCAGATTAAATGAGTATTTGTGAATATTACTAGATGAAAGTAGGTTGGTTATCTATTTTTGTTATAATAATTCATCTATGTTTATAATTGTATTTTGTTTATTATAAAAATATGTAAATTAAGCTTGGTATCACTTACTGGAATTCTAAATCTATGAAGTTTCGTAATCCATTGATTCTGCAGAACTATCACTGGAATCGTCTTTATCGTCGGAACTTAAAGTTATGACTAAAGGTTCAACTACCGTTTCGATCATACCGTCCAAGCGCCACATTATTTTCTTCCTTAATTACATGGGAAATAGCATTCTGCCAATCTTCAGGTTTTATACGTTCTATACCGGTTTTTAATAAACTTTGAACGTCGGGTATTTTAAAAGTTTTATTTTTTCGAGCTACAAACCCTTTCACTTGCGCCCAAATTAGTTTAATAGGATTGAATTCGCAGTGATAAGGGGGAAGTCTTAGTACCGTTATACCACGATCACGAGCCATTGTGTCGACAACCTATTGAATATTTTTATGGCGGTGTTTCTTTATTAGGTCCATTAATTCCACTTTAAGCATCTCCTCAGTAAATGTTATTGCTTTATCCCGCAGCCAGGTTTGCATATCCGCTTTCCTACTGGACATTATCGAAATGCGTTCTACTCGTCGACTGTGATAAAAAGTGTTATCTAGTGCAATAACTGAATTTCGTTTCACGTTTCATCGACATAGTATATCTTTTTTTTTAGCGGCTCTAAACTCTTTAATATTTCGTAAATAACACCGTCGCCAGGACACTATATCTGACCTCTCAATTAAAATTGATTTCCTACACCGTTTGACAAAACGAAATTTTAGGCCCCATAAAATTTTTCTTAAAGTTTCACGGCTCATTAATGGAATTTCTTCGTTTTCTCTTAATTTCGTAAGAACAACTTTAAGTGTTGGCGCTTTGTTTTCGAAAAAAAAAAAAAAGAATGTAGAGTTCTTCGAATGATTTAATTTTTGGTTATCGTCCAATTTCAACAATTTTCGACCACGTGTATGCGTTTTAGGGGCTTCTTAGGAGCCTTTTTTTTGTCTTTTCGCGTACAATACGTTCAATTGAAACAGATACTCCAGTTAAAAAAGAACTGCGGTTTACAGCTTCATTTCTAGGAAGTGTCTGTTTCAGCCCATCGTACACTTTCCATATAATGTTCTTTTTATCCTTCGATTAGGGCTTTCGTCGACGTAATTGGGTTTCACTTGGACCCGCTTCTGAATCCATTACTATTGTAACAATATAATTCTACTATTAAATTGTTTTTATTAAATTTATAAAGACACCAATATTTTACTATTTAATAAACTTTTAAAGTACCTACACAATAAATATAACTCCTAGAATATGCACTACCACTATAATATCAAATTGTAAGGCATAAACACTTATACAAAAAAAGTGTTTATAAAATATTAAATAATTATCGTAAATAGTTAAAGCGATACAAATCTAACTTCGTCGAAAGTTAGTTTTCAACTGTCTTTGTGCCTGTGCTGACAATATTCAATCTGTAACCCGTCTGTCGTTTATTTACTTGAAACACATTCATTTGTCATCGCCTCCAAATATTAGGGTATCATCTTACAAAATTTTACTCTCTATTGCAGAGTTAAAACTCATTTCAACTGATTTTGACTCTTTACCTGATCCACACATGGACGGACTTTTTTGTCTGTCTAACTAAATGAATGTAACGATCAACGAAATTGCCAAGAACGGAGATGACACGTTTTTAAAAGCAGTGTTTTTAAAACCATTAAACACAGATAACGAAGTCGTTAGGGAATAAATATATTTACTAACAAATGCCTAATAAATAATAAATAATTATTTGATATTTGATAGGCCGCCTATGCTGACTCTGTTACTTTCCGTCGGAATTTTCATTCATAGACAACAGTGTGAATTATGCATATATGACTCACCTTCTCCAATATTGTACACTATGTGTACATTTGATAGTACGTTCTAAGTATATGCTAAGTATTTAAATATAGCATATGCTAGGCATATACTAGACACCCTAACCCAGCTAGCACAAAAACATCCCATCTACGTTAATAAGCTGCAATTTTAGGCTCTTTAAGCTCGCATGCAATGTACTGTTAATGTAACCCTATCATCCCTGCAACCACCGAATGTCCGCAACGGCAAGACTTTTATAGCACATCTCACAGAAGTTAAAAAGTGAAGTTCGGAAAACATCACACTAGCACTTTTACGGTACTTACCCTGAAAGTTGCTCTGAAACTTTCTATAGATGTTATAATGTGAATTCATTCTACAGCATTATACAGTGTGTCCACGGATGGACTTAACAATACTTGTAAAAATATTTATTTTAAATTTAAAAGTACTTCTTCATAATTTCTTTTGCTTGTTAAATAAATACGATTAACGTTGAGAAATTATGAAAAAGACCTTTTGAAAAATTTAAAATAAATATCTTTACAAGTATAGTTATGACCATCCTTGGATACACTATATTCAAAATAGTATATTGAGGATATAGTAAAATCTGAAGAAAACAAAATAAAAAATTGTATAAATTTATTATTAAAAAGCTTTTGAAATCAAGAACCAATATCATACAAGTAGAGGTAGGTATTAATAATATAGGTAAAAAAAACACTGACAAATTGGACAAAAGTTGGTATAAAGGGTATATAAGGAATATCTCATAAAGGGTATATAAGGAATATCTCAAAGGTTCACTAGAATCGAAAACACTGAACGCTTGCACGAAAGAGTATAATAAGGTACCTATATTGCAAAGGTTCACTGGTAGCTAAAATGGTGCACGATTGTACAAAAGTAGTAAAAAGTGTATTTATATAAGGTATATTTCAAAAGTCACTAGATTTTTATTAAGATGGCAGTTGTAGGATGCTAAAAAGATATTTGCCTACAACTGGTACTAATCATAGTTTTAATATGATATAAACTGAATATTGATAAATGTAAAGTCATAAGGTTTAATAAAACAGCTAATATCATTATGCATGATTGTCATTGCAAGTTCTGAACTAAGTTTTGAGCAAACTATAAATGATCTTAATGTTATTTTTGAGAGGGACCTATAAGAGTTTGGAATGCAGATGTCGAGAAGCATCATTTGTTTTCCTGTATAAGTTATTGAAAGGTTTGATTGATAGTGACAGCCTGGTACACTTTATTAGATTCCTTGTTCCTGCCAGACTTACTAGGCATATGAAACTATTTTATGTAAATGCTCATATAACTAACTATGGACAGAATTTATTTGTAGACCAACTGATGTCCAATTACAATAAGTATTTTTCAAATTATGACATTTTAAAAGGTTTATTTTTTAAAGTGTCAACTTTTATTACACTATTGACTTCATTTTTATACTGTGACAATTTTATTAATTTCTTTTTTATTTTATTTTGATATTTTAACCATTTAGAACTTTATATATCAGTAGCGTACTGTAAACAAATAAATATGTGAACTTAATTACATAGTTTCTTCCGTAAAAATAACTTTGTAGATAATAAATTTACTTGTTTAATTATTATTAAGAAAATAATATATATATATAAAGAAAATAAAAAATATGCTCGTTTAAATCGTTGCACCTATTTTTAGTTGATTTTTACTTACTTTGTTTTTTTAAATAAATAATAACATTTATTTTGACTTTTACAAATTTTATACTTAATAATGGATGTTCAACTTATACAGAACAATGTTTTTTAGCATGATATTCTGCTATGAAAGAAAAAGAAATAATCTCAGATGTTATATATTCTTCTTCAACCAATTCTGTATTAACTTTAGCTTCTAAAATTCCTGAGATTTTTACTAGAATTATAATCCAGCCCAAAGGAAACCTAAAACACAATATTTTTAAAATTTATTTTTAGTGATTAAAATATTACACTAGGGCGACCATACTTACAGCAATTTTTCTGTATTGTAAAGCATTTTTAAAGTTTGTCCAGCAATTCGTATTGTGCAGCAAACGTACAGCAAAATGGCATAGGTATATATATACAGTGAAATGCTGAATTTATCCACCAAAACGTCACTACTGTCCAGCAATGGTAATACTTAATTTACTGAAACGTAACAAATTTAAATGTTATTTATCTTTAGTGAACTACATGAACACTTCTATACTGCTGTTCTAGCAAGAAAGGTTTTATCTGCAAAATTAGCAGTTTTTTTTATGTGCATTTGTCTACATTTTATCTTTCTCGATACTGAAAAGGAATGTCTTATTTGTAACAAAGGTACTAAAATGTTAAAAAGTTACACAAAAAAGGTTTAAAAGATAATAAATATGAATTTTCAGATAGGACTTCTCTTGTTAGGATGGCAGTATATGACTTCTCTGTTTTTGTATTTTTATAATTGGGAGTAGGGTTGAGTATCGGTCAAAGGTATCAATACCGGTATCATGTGAGATACTTTGTGGTAGAGGCATCGATACTGTTCGATATTATGTTAAAGATATTGTATCGAAAAAGTAAAAGATTTTTGTTAAACGGCTGGCAACCCCCATTCAACAGGACGGAGTAGGGAACTTAACTAATAACAAGAGTGCATCAGTAAAGTATATTCTGTAGTCGACACCTTTTCTTTCTCTACTGGTACTCTACCTGGTACAAGTTATAGTGTCAATAACTGGCAATTTACCTTATAATTAAATAACAAAAAAACAGTGGTAACGCTTAATCATATTACCAAGTTTCACCAAATGCAAAAACTAAAATATTTCAGTACAAATATTTGAACAAACCTTATAATCTCTGACCACACACATAGCGATACAATACCTGCTTCTAAGTATCACTATGGCGATAGTATTGGTAATTCAGTGCCTAAATATCGATACTTTCATTGTTTAATATCGTTACTTCTATAGTATTAAGGCATCAATAAGATCCCTATTATCGTGTAAAATTAATATTTCATCATTTAATTGTATCTACTTGTTTACAATGATTTATTTTTTATTGTATTTGGAAATTGAAATTTTACCATCTAAAACAACAGACAATAAATTAGAAAATTTATTGAAAAGAAGAAAACAACTTACCAAACTTATTCAAACGTATAGTTTCCAACATAGAGGAAGGATTATTAGTTTCCAATTTCTTTAAAATCTGAAATACGTACAAGAAAAAGTGACAAGTGACATTTTTTTATGTTTTGTTGGTTATGACAAACGAATGGCTACGTTCGAAAGTCCACAGTACTTCTCGTGGAAACTTTTTTAGCAAGTTACTTAATTACCTTGTGTTATCATAACAGGCAGGTTAAATACGTAAGTAACAAATAGATGTTTCGCGAGGTTTTGATTTCCCTCAACAACTTCTCATTAACGTTGCAATTACGTTGTATGGGTATGTTATTATGTTCCCTTAAAACAACATCGCCGAAAGGCTTGGTAACGTTATGTGCTAGCTGGGAATACAGTATGGAAAACTTTATTATTAATTTTAGGCAAAAAAGTTATTCTTCATAAAAAGTTTTGCATTATCTAAAACCTAGAATCCAGTCATCAAATATCAAATTTGTTTAGTGGTATACGAGGTTTGTCAAAAAATATGAGTTTTACTCAAGTGTAAAGTACCTTTATTCTTTATACGACTGATATAATTTGATATTTGATGGTCGTATTTTAGGTTTTAGACCATGCTCGACTTTTTATAAAGAACGACTTTTTTTCCTAAAATTAGTAATAAAAAAGCTTTCCTATGCCACCAACGTAAATATGAATATCTTTTTTATTTATAATATTGGGAAAAAAGTGTTTGCAACGATATGTAAGTTCAGAACTGTTGTAAGTAGTAAAGTATGAGAGATTGAAGGATTATATATTTTTTTTACAAAATTCACAGATTCTCTAATAAATCTTTTTTCTACTATTGGTAAGAGACAAACGATCTTCGTAGATATCGTATAACTGTATTTTCCCCCAAATTTACCTTCTTTCAAGTAAACCCCTGAAGTTTATTATGTCAACTTATGAGTGACTTAACCCGCCATTGGGATTAAAATATTAATTAATAATTTATTATAATATAAATTATTAATTAATAATTAATTAATAATTTATTATAATATAAATTAAATTACTGCTAATCGGACTCGATACCAGTAACTGAATACATACACTGTCGCTCGATATATTAAGTTACTGAAACGATTATTTTTGGAAATCAAACTATAAAGTGTTTCATCTTTCTCTAATAAATACTGAATAAACTTTATTTTATTTACAGGAATTCCAAGAAGCCGTAGAACTAGCAAATCTTGTGATAGAACTAAAGCCCGAATCATACGAAGCGTACTATGCTAGAGCGAAGGCAAAACTAGACTTGAACAAATTCGAAAGTGCCTTATACGACGTCAAAGAAGCCTTAAAGAGAGCCCCAGAGTCTGGAAATGAAATAAAAATCTTGAATTATTTAGTTGAAGACATCACGACAAGAATGTCGAATAGTAGAAGTTTATCGAATAGAAGAAATGTAGCTATTTCTGTGGATACTTTACACGAGTGAATCAGTGAGTGAATATTTTTCGAAAAACTGATAACATTTCTAAGCTATAAATAAGAATAATGCGAAATGAAATAAACACTTCGGCGATAATAAAGTGTTGTGGTATCCTCAAATTTTTAGACTGTATTGTAAAAAAACTATATAAGCAATAAATAAATTATTGTTAATATTTGTACATATTCTGACATAATTTATTTTTTATTAAATTTAGTTTGTTGTGAAAATTTCTTAGTCATCCCATTTTTCAATTTTTATCATTTTCCATTCCATTTTTTAATTTATTCAATTGTTTTACTACTTTTATAGTGTATAATTTCGATTTTTAAATAAAAGTTCCATGGAATATAGGAGTCTAGGAGAGTTAAGAAAAAATAAAAATTATTTAAAGAAAATAAAAGATAACAAATATTTTTAAGTACTTTGATATTTTCTAAAACGAACTCTATTTTTGCTAAAGCATTCTTTAAAGTGAGTAATAGGAAAATTAGACTAGGAAAAACGAATTTCAACTTTTAAATAAAGAAGATAGAAAAAAATCTGTTAATGATCTAAAAAACTAAACGATAAAATTTGGATTTTTGAAAATTAATACCCCAATTCCCCCTACAACATTAAGGAATCCACCCTCACTACCCCAAATTAAAAACAAACCAAATCCAAATCGATGATAAGGCGGGTACAGATCTGAGCACGTATGCGTATGAGGCAAGCCGAGGCCGAACCGAATGCCTCGTGCGATGCAGTTTGTATACACGAATGGTGGACGCACGAGGCGCTGTTCGCCACTGATTCAGTAAATTCGCGAGCACGCAACCGTATACCCAGAACATTCGTAAAATTAAAACAAAAATGAAGAATGAGGATGATGTCGCGGAGTAGAGTGCATGTTTTATTATTTTATCCGACATATTAAAGAAAAAAGAAAAGAATAAAATCGATGAACGATTTCCTGCCAAAGATATTCTTCTTTATGGTGTTGTAATAGAATAGCGCTTTGCTCTCTTAAGATATCACACTGATTATTTAAATCCAGGAGAAGTAAAACGTTTTCCTGGTCCCACTTCATGCAAAATAAATCTTAAAAACTCGCTATAATCTGTACGGTGCTGCATGGTACAAATTCCTCGTCCAGACTGAGCACGTACTCCCTTTGATGTACCGCCAACAAACGGATCGAGGCGAGGCCGTTCGGCGCATACAACGAGGCAATCGCCGCACCTCGGCAGCCCGTCCACATCTCCATGCTCATGCGTCCTCGGCTTGCCTCATACGAGTACGTGCCCAGATCTGTACCCGCCTTTATACAGTGGTTTAACACGTTAGCTCCCAAGATAAATTTAAGGATTTTTTCTGTGGTACTATATGAGTCACCGGTGATTCGTTCGGTTGGGATCTCTTTTTTACCGCGTGTATCACTGGTGATATTGAGTATTGCTTATATAGCAAGAGGTTAAAATTTAAGTCAGAACTACTTGGTACACAACATGAAACTTTGGACTTTCTTTTATTGTTCATGAAGACAGTCAAATTGTGTATCACATGGGTGCCAAGGTGTTAATGGAGAATTAAGCAAGCTTGGTGGAATTGTGTATGCCAATTTGAATCGAAATTTGATATCTTTAAATTACCAATTCGATTTTTGTATTGTAGCTATAAGTACCGATGCCGATGGTCTAATTGGCGAGGCAGTGAGAGTAAACTCTAGAATCTAGGTTCGATTCCTGGCTGTGACACATTTTTTTCAGTTCAGCTTTAATATTTTATCATTTGTTAGTTTTTACTATTGGGTTGTGAGGATGGATCCCTTGATTTTGTAGGAGGAATTCGGGTGTTAATTTTCATATTTCAAAATTTCATATTTTGATTAATTCTTTCGAATGCTGAAAAATATACAATTAAGCTCAAAAAGAGTAATGGTATCTGTATTGAAAACAATTTTACTTGTTTTTTTTTTAAGGAAAAAAGAAAGAATTGAAATAAAAATAAGTAATCTTTTATATAGAGAGTGATTCATTGATGGTGGTGACTGGCCATATACAGAATGATCCAGTTTATATCGTCAGGAATTCACCAGCTGAATATTATTTATCGAAAAGTAAAGATAATTTTTCCAATAAACTATGATCAATATTTGCTTCCTATTTGATGTACAGCATTCAGGTATCAAAATTGTTAGTTTTCACTTTTCCTCGAAAACAAAGTACAATACGAAAAAATTTATGAGTCAATGGAGTTGTATATTTAGTAGATAAAGAACCCCGCACAAATCTTATGGAAATTGGCTCCCGGTCAAATTGGCTGAAATTTGGATATGTTGTTCGTTTCGGCATCCTGAGCAAAAGTCTCAATAAACACAAAGCTTAAATTTGCTTAATTTGGCTCCTACGGAGCTCCAAAGCTCCACGGATTGACCATTATTTACTACTTATAAAGACAATCTCCTCGAAAGTTTAGTATTTACTGCGTTAAAAAAGAAGTACCTTCTTATGTTTTTGGGGTCGCTGCATTCAAATCCAAGGCCAATATAATAATATTGACAGTTGACAGCTGTCAACTAACTGTCAATCAACAAGCAATGATCAAAATTAATAAAATATATTTGTAAATATCTGTTTTTGAGGTTGGTAAGTTCAAAACTGATGTTAACAACTCGATATTAACAGTTGACAGCTGTCAACTACCTGATAAACAGTATGTGACAATCAAAATTGACAAAATTCAGGAGTAAATAGATTTCTTCGAGGTTGCTGAGTTCAAAACTGATGTCGAAAAGACGATATTGACCGTTAATAGCTGTCGACTAACTGGTGGTGTACATCGGTAAAGGTTAACGCCTACGGTAGAAATAAATATTGTGATAGTTTGACAGTTATTTGACAGCTGTCAACTGTCAATATCGAGTTTTTAACATCAGTTTTGAACTCAGCTGCCTCAAAAACATATATTTACTTGTGGATTTTATTAATTTTGATTGTCACATGCTGTTTGACAGTTAGTTGATAGCTGATCACTGTCAATATCGTCTTTTTAACATCAATGTTGAACTAAGCAACCTCGAAGACATATACATATGGATTTTATCAATTTTGATTGTCACATGCTGTTTGACAGTTAGTTGACAGCTTTTAACTGTCAATATCGTCTTTTTGACATTAGTTTTGAACTCCGCAACCTCGAAGACATAACTATTTACTCCTGAATTTTGTCAATTGTGATTGTCACATACTGTTTGACAGTTAGTTAATAGCTGTCAACTATCAATATCGAGTTGTTAACATTAGTTTTGAACTAACCAACCTCAAAAACAGATATTTACATGGGAATTTTATCAATTTTGATTATTGCTTGTTGTTTGACAGCTGTCAACTGTCAATATTATTGTATTGGCATTGGATTTGAATGCAGCGACTCCGAAAACATAAGAACGTACTTCTTAACGCAGAAAATACTAAACTTGGAGATTGCCTTTTTAAGTAGTAAATAATATTAGCGTCTATTTCTTGTGCTCTACAAATGAACCCAGCATTGACCTTCAATCATTTAGCGCTTGCAAGTGGCCATTTCAATAATTTTAGCGATGTTGCCAATTGCTTTTTGTTATTTGTTCTAAATAAATATATTCATGGTAATACCGTTCTATATAACTGATATTTTTATTCCTATAAATGTGGAGTTGTCAAACAAAGTAAAAGAACGTACATAACAGGAATGACAGTGACTGTTTTTTCAATAGCTCCAGGCCAGATTATAAAACCAGAATATAAATGTGTTTATTTGAGACTTTTCATTTCAATTATTCAATTTGAGCTGTGCCCAGGCCGTTGGAGTCTATGCCGGTCGGCGTAGCCATGTATGGGTTGATGTTTTTTGGTGGCGGCGAAGCCGTTACCCTACGATAAGTCGTTGCTTCGTTTTCTTGTTGCATATTTATGGACTGGTATGGGCAATCACAATTTTCCATTAACTACTAATTTTATCACAATTCGGCAAAGTTGCAATTATATTTTCGAAAAATTTTTTTTTTCTTTGGTGTACGGCTTCAACATCTAAGGTCATTAGCCTAGTGTTCTATGTAGGTTATTGATTGTACTAGTAGTTTAATACTCCATAGTGCAGGAGTATTATTATAATTCGAATAATCTACTCTGTGATATTTTTTGTACCCTCACAGCACGCCTCTGTATCAACTGTAACATGTCCGAAATACATCTCATCAAGTTTTAAACAAACTGAAAATTTCATTAAAATCGATCAATGCTTTTTTATATATTAAAAAAAAAACTATTTTTTCAGACGCCCTGTATATAAAAAAGGAAACAAAATTGGAACATGTTTTATTGGAAAAACTACCTTCATTTTTCGATAGCTGGTAAAACTAGACTACCCTGTTTATCGTTTCATTTTCAGAAAAATACATAAATTGCGTTAAGGTTCACATAACACCCTCTATTTGTCAGTTGAGATATCAAATGTGTTGTTGCTGTTTTTTAAAATCAAATTATAATATATTGAAGTTAATACATTTGTGTATATAAAAAAAAATGATTTCCCCACCAATAAACTATTAACTGATCAAACATAGTAGTTTTAGACTGATGACAGTTGTTTCTAATATTTCATTTCAACAAGCCATATTAGATTAAATAGAAAAACGTAATCCGTCATAAAAGTGTGACGTAATTTTGGTTCCACTGTCAAACTTTTAACAATATTTGACATATACGTTTTTATTGTTTTTACTCTTTTATTAAATATCGTGGAGGTCTTAAAAAGTAGTTTTAATGAACGTAATTTAACATTCATTTAGTTTTGAGATAAGTCTACTTAAAAAGTTTTAATTAAATCCTGAAATCTGGGCTTAAAAATAAAAAAATATCTGTTTAATTTCTTTTTTGTACAAACACACTTATTGTTTGGTTGAAATATATAACAAGAAATCAAGAATTTTAGTTAGTTTTCAAAAAAAAAAAATAATAAAAACCTCAAAAATTGTGGCTTGTTACTTTTATTTGGCTAAAATATTTAGATATACTTTTATTTTAAAACAGATGAAAAATAATCAACTTATTGTGATATTTTTTTTATTAGAAAAACGGTATAGGTATAAGTTTTAAAATGTTTGGGGACTTTCATCTTCATCGTCGACGTTCTCGATTCTTCCATCACATGCATCACTGGCAATTGCATCTTCTACTCCAATACCAACATAACAATCGGCTAATGGAATACATGGGAGAAGAACCTTTAGATTTTGTAGTTTCTTTTCGTTTACTTGGACTGGACCCTGGTATTTATTTTCTAAGGTATTAAGATCTACTACTTGTTGATTTTTTTTTCCTCTTTTACCCACACTTACAGGCTTAAACTCTTCATTAATAAGATGCTTTATAAACA